TGCTGTGATCTAGATGGTGTGGATTCCTTGATAAAGATAATATTTTGGTTGTGGCTTGGAGTGTGGTGCATAATCAACTTACAAAAGGTACTTGCTGTTCATGCTGGGAGATGTTCTAGTCCATTACATCTTGTACTGTTTGCTTGCTCTAGGATGTGTTTTATAGGACTCCGTGGGATGGAATGGGCTTGATCTTGAGGAAATGGAGCATGGAGCAATAGTGGCAGCTTGGCGGAAGGGGAACCATTGCTTCTGATGTTCGTTCTGCATGCTGAGCTGAATTCCATTCTGCACAGCACTGCTGAACTAGAGCAACTATGTTTGACCGTGACTCAAGACATCTGAAACCTAATTTTGAGCAGCCGCTTTAGCTAGAATCTACCTTCTTGTATGTGAATGAAACTAACTTCTTGCCAAAGGTAAAGACCTGTGCTTGGGAATATTTCCCCCCTTCTTCCTGTTTGTGTAGTAGTCAGAGGGGTTACTATAACTGCTGAACAATTAATGAACTTAACATCTTACCCTACCACCTTTGGTAGTTCTCCATTAGTATTCATCTTTCCCACATGTATGCTTCTGTATCAGAGACTTGAAAAATATTTCAGAACCTGCTGCTTTGGACTTGTTAACTGAGTTCATACAATACGAGAAACCATTGTGCTTTCCCATCCATGATGGATTGCAGGGGTGAAGTCAGTGGTTGTGGTCCATGTTGGTACAATGACATGTGGAAATGTAGTTGTGAGGTCCTGGAAGCCAAATTTAGGTTGTTGGATAGATGGTTGAAATCCAGGACCTCCAAGGTAGCCTTCTCTGATATGCTACTGGGTCCATGCACAGGGCCAGCTAGACAGTGCAGCTGAGAAGTCTTAATGCATGGATGAGACAGTGGTGTAGAGAGGAGGGTTTTGCATTTATTAGGCACTAGGGAACATGTTGGAACAAGCAGGGCCTGTACAGGCTCCAGTTGAACCAGAATGGAACCAGATTGCGGGTGCATAGCATAAAAGAGGTGGCAGAGCAGCTTTCAAACTGAACCCTGGGGGGAAGCCAATGGGAGCTGGGAAGCATCTAGTTAGGTTCAAATCATTCCTAGTGGATGAAGGTGTGGGAAGAGAGTTTCAGATTGCCCAAGTGCAGGAGTGGAGGGAGTAGGTAATGAGGTTTCGGTAAGCAAGGATAACCAGTTGGAGAGGACAAAGTGCCAGAACAATAGTAGTACATAGGTGGAGAGGGACACTGTGTTTCTATGCAAATACTAGAAGCCTTAGGACCAAAATGGGAGAACTGAAGTACCTGGTGATAAAGAAGACGCTAGATATAGTGAGCATATGGAAATCTGGTGGAGCAGATGAATGAATCGTATAGCATTCTCTCTAGATATAAACTATATAGGAAAGACAGGAAAGAGTGTACTGGAGGAGGCATTGCCCTCTATTTTAAGAAGGGCATAGAGTCCAGCAAAACTGAAAATCAAAAGTGTGAAGATTTCTCATCATGGGTGAAAATTCCTGGCTCCAAATCTAACTTAGTCATAGGGTTATGTTATTGTCCCTGCACCAGAATGCTCAGGGTGATCTTGAGATGAGAAATGAAATTGGGGAGGCTTCCAACAAAGGCAGTACTCTAATAATGGGGGACTTCAACTACCCACACATTGACTGGATAAATGCATTTTCCAGTTCTGACAGAGAGGTTAAATTTCATGATGTTATAAATGACTGTGCCCTAGAGCAGTTGGTATGGAACAAACCAGAAGAGAAACAATCTTGATTTTAGCTGTAGGTGGGGTTGCCCAGGACATAGCACAGGATGTAAATGTTATTGAGCCATTAGGTAACAGTGACCACGCTGGTATTAGATTTAATATAAAGTTAGGTGGAAGACTGCCAGAGAGGTCAAACACAGTTGAATTTGACTTCAAAAGAGGCAGCTGCTTAAAAATGAGAGAACTGGTAAAGAAGAAGCTGAAAAGGGAAATCAAGATGTTTAAATCACTTCAAAGTGCTTTGAGATTACCAAAAAAACCCAGTATAATAGATGCACAGATAATATGCATAGCACACATGAGAAAAAGTAGCACAAAGTCTAGGAAATCACCAGCATGGCTAACGCATAGAGTCAAGGAAGCTATTAGGGAGAAGAAAGCTTCCTTCAAAAAATGGAAGTTTTGCCCAAGTGAAAAGGACAGATGGGACCACAAGCTTGCTTGAGGGAGATGTAAGCAGAATATCCAAGAATCAAAGAAACAGTTTGAGGAGCAAATCACTAACAGTATAAAGGCTAACAATTTAAAGGCTTACCATAAAGAGTTCTTTAAATATATCAAAGGAAATAAAATGGCTGAGAAAGCAGTTGGACCATTGGATGATAACAGTATTAAAGGAGCACTAAGGGGGGACAAGGAGATTGCAGAGAAGCTGAATGAATTCTTTTCATCAGTTTTTACAGCAAAGGATGAAGAGCAGATACCTGTCCCTGAGCTTATGTATTCTGGAAAGGAGTCTGAGGAATTAGGAAAATAGTAGTGACAAAAGAGGGAATTCTCAATCTTACTGGCAAACTGAAAGTCAGCAAGTCACCCAGTCCAGATGATATCCATTCTAGAGTTATTAAAGAACTCAAGCATGAAATTGCTGACCTTCTTACCAAAATATTTAACATGTCCCTAAAATTAGTCTGTGTACCAGAGGATTGCAGAATGACCAATATAAGACCAATTTTTGAAAAGGGGTCCAGGTTACAGTCCAGTTAGCTTAACATCTGATTTAGGTAGTAAACTGCTTGAAAGCATTATTAAAGGTAGAATCAGTAAACAAATAGAGGGACAAGCCCTGCTGAAAAAGAAAAATCAGCTTGGTGTCTGCAAGGGGAAGTCTTGTCTTGCTAACTTATTGAAGTTCTTTGAGAGTGTCAGTAAACACACGAACAGGGGCAATCCAGTGGATATTGTTTTCTTGGACTTCCAAAAGGCTTTTGACACAAACTCTCACCAAATGCTTCTGAGCAAACTAAGCAGTCATGGAACAATAGTGAGGGGTTCTCTTATGAATCACTAACTGGGTAAAGGACATAAGTCAGAGAGTGGGAATAAATGACGCTTTCTCCAAATGGAGAGATGTCACCAGTGCAATCCCACAGGGTTCTGTATTAGGACCAGTGCTTTTCAACCTGTTAATAAATTATCTGGAATTAGGAGTAAGTAGTGAGGTAGCCAGTGATCTTTCCAGGCTGGGAGAATGGGCATCGAAATGGCAAATGCAGCTCAATGTAAGCAAATGCAATGTATGTTGGGGCAAAAAATCCCAATTTCCAGTATTCACTGATGGGATCTAAACTAATGGTGCCTGAGAAAGAAAGGGATCTGGGGATACTTGTAGGGAGCTCTGTGAAAATGTCAGCCCAGTGCTCATCTGCTGTGAAGAAGGAAAACTCCATGTTAGGCTTAATTATGAATGGAACCGAAAACAGAACTGCCAAAATCTTAGTTCCCTGATACAGATCTTTGTGCAATCACAATCGGAACATTGTGTTCATTTTTGGTTGCCTTACCTGTACAAGGACATTACTGAGTTGGAAAAAGTACAGAGAAGGGCAGCAAAAATGATCAGAGGGCTCAAGCAGTTCCCATATGAGGAACAGCTGTGACAACTGGCACTGTTCAGCTTAGGAAAAAAGGTGAGCAAGGGGAGACATGATAATGGTGTTTAAAATAATGCATGGTATGGAGAAAGTAGAAAGGGAGACATTTTTCTCCTTCTTCCATAACACTCAAACCCAGAGTCATCCCATGAAGCTGACTGGTGGGAGGTTTAGAAGAGATAAAAGGAAGTTCTTCCCATAGTGTATAGTTAAACTATGGTATTTACTGCCATGGGAAGTGGTGATGGCTAGCAAATGGGATGGCTTTAAAAGCTGATGGGACAGATTCATGAGAGAGGAAGCTATCTGTGGCTACCAGCCTTGCTGGCTGTGTGCTGCCTCCTTTACCAGAGGTGGCCTGCCTGCGTGCACCAGTTGCTGAAGAGCTGGGCAGGAGATCTTGCGCCCATCCTGCTTGAGGGATCCTGTGGGCAACTGGTTTGCCAATCATCTGTATGGAGTGCTGGGCTAGATGGAGCTTGAGTCTGATCCTGCATGGCTTTTCTTATGGTCTTCTGGGTTGTCTTGTTGTTTAAACGTGGGCCACTTTTCCCAGTGTGGCTTGTTTTGGGCAACAAGCCACCCAGACAGCCCCGGACTATTCTAGGTGTTGTTGTGCCATGTTGGGCTCTCATACTGCCCAAACCCTGGTGACTGAACCCATCAGGCATATGAGCAATCTGCTATTGATCCAGTAGCAACCCCTCCCCTCCCCCGGTGATTTTGAGAATAATTTCCCAGGCAAGTACCAGTACAAGCCTCTCTAAAGTGCCCAAGCTGCACTTGGGGGAAACTGACACTGGCTCCCCCCCCCCCCTTGCAATCTTGAGACATTTTGGGCATGCTGCAGTTCTTTTCCCCCTTTTACCTTTTTTGCCCTTCAAATCATGAAGGCCAGCTGTGAAATTAGCTTTCACAATCCCTGTTTTGACAGCTGGAAATTCCCTTCAAAATGTCCCAGGGGCACCTTGGGGAAAGGGGCTGTCAATGGTTGCCAGCTTTTAGAAAAGGTTCCTTTTAATTGTCATATTCTCATATATATATATAATGTGCTTGTGCTAAATTTGATAGCATAAAATTGATAGCATATAATTCTGGTGATTTGTTTGTAATACAGTTTTTTAAATAGTCTAACTTGCAAGGTTACCATAAAGTTTTATTTCAGAACTTGGAAACTAGAAGACAATTAGGCTCCTGTGTTGCCTGGGTCTGTTCTATACCAAACCATATAATAAAACAAAATCTTGTAATCTTAATTAACCAAATTAAAAGCAAAGAAATATATATCTAATTTTGCACAACGTGTACACATCTCACAAGTTCTGGGTTTACAAAGAATTGTATCTTGTATTTTGCAGGAAAAGTGAGGAAATGAAGGAACATAGTAATTTAAATCATACCTCGTAGAATCATAGAGTGGTGGACTTGGAAAGGACCTGTAAGGACATGCAAGTATAGCTATTAGAAGAATATTTCCTGGAGTTCTGGTAGGTGATGGACAGTCTTCACACACTTAGTTCTTGTACATTAATGGGCTTAATATTTTAGAGTGAGAAGAATGAAATGCCTTTCTGCAAGAGTTGTGTATCTGCAATACACTGTTTGGGCAGCATATGCGCCTGAAGTCATGCTTACACTAATGCCTTTAGGAAGAGAATGTGCTTTCTGTTCTTTGCAGGTGTTTGTTCTGCTGGCGTTCAGCTGGGCTAAACTGCAAGTTTAAGAATCTGCCATCAATTAATAGCCTTATATGATAGTCTCCCTCCCTGTCCCAAACCTGGTGCCTCATATATTTGTTGGACTACAGCTTGCATCATTCCAGTGGTATGACCCTGCGCTGACTGGGGATACTGGGAGTTGTAGACCAACACATCTGGTATGTTCCCATGTTGAGAAGGCTATTGAAAAGTTTTAGGAATATGGTCCTTCTAAATATATGGATGATGTAGTTTTCAGCAGAAGACTCTTTGGGATGTTTGGGATGTTAGATGAGTTTACCACCATTTTTCAAAAGAAAAAAGAAAAAAAAAGAGCATTTCATTGAATTCTTTGAAAACTGCCTTTGCACCAAAGCTGCAGATGCTTAAAAACAGGGCTAAATTTCAGGTAAATTGTCACTGGCCTCTTGTGAACTTCCTCACAAAGTTTTGTAGATATGAAATGAAGAACTCTCATATTCCATTACAGTGATGTAGAATTATGTGCACAAAGAAGCAGGATGAAATGCGAGGAAGGAAATTGATGGGAATTTCCAAGGGCTGATGCTTGTTTTTCCTTGATCTTTCTTGATCAAGGAAATAAGTCCCCAAATAAGTTGGATGGCACTAGTTTCTGGGCCATCTCACATGCAAGAAAATATGCATAGGGTTGGAGAGACACATTTGGAGTGTGAACAAAAACCCTGTGCTCAGTAACTGGCCTGTACGTTGGCTGTGTGGAAGAATGTGTGGCCTTGGCTGGTCAGATTCCCATCACCACAGCCACTGATCCATCCGCACGGCTCACTTCTATTTAGATTGACAGTTTGAACGCTGCTGGGGTCTGGACTTGGTTCTGAGAACCCCAGTTGCTGACCTCTAGCATATGCTCTGAGTTGCACAGAACTGTGGTTCAAGGATAAATCCTCTATGGCCCACAGAAACAACTGCACAGCTCTTCCTCCCCTTTCTTTCGGAAGAACAAGAAATAGAACCAGGCGGATGATGACTGTGGCAGGACCTTATTAAAGTAAAAGTTGATCTGAATGTTGTAGTCCCCACAAGTCAGCCAAGTCTCTTTCTTCTTGGTGATTAAAGACGAATGCATGATTTCTTCCTGTCAGTAACTGTAGCCCGTTCTGTCTCTCCATGCACTTACATTAAATCTGTTGGCTGTCAGTTCTCAGTGTGTAGCCATGGGAACTCTGATGTCACTAACGAGAGCCTGTAACTTTCCCTCCGTGCAGGAAGGATGACTAGCAAAGAGGGGAGGTGGCAGGTTGCAGGGATGTTCATAATGGCAAAAGGTAGAAATGGAGTAAAAGTGACCCATATGGTGGTTGCAAGGTGAGAGCCTTGGTTAAATAGCTTCTCTTCCCCGCCCCACACCTGCTTTTTTTTTTTTATAAATGCAAATTTCTTCTTTGGAAGAAAAGTGCTAGGGAGTGCTCTGTGGGGAAGAAAAAAGGAGCGTAATGGTTAATGTGTAGAAAGCACTTTGGAATATTAAAAGGGCTATTTATTCCTGCAGTTCCAGCAGAGGAACTTGTTGAAACGTGGCAGTGGTCTTGTCACTCAAAGGGTTTGCCTTTGGGGAAATTGCTGATTGACAAGCGAAGGTGCTGAGCTTGGTTTAGGGAGAACAAAATACTGTTCTGGGGGAGAGTCTGCAAGGAAATGTCTTTCCAAGGAACTTTGAAATCCTTTCCCTTGACTATCTTTGATCTGTTCAAAACATCCTCCTCTGGAGACCGGAGCTTTGCCTACAAAGTTGTCTCTTGTAGACATAGGCTGAAGTTGAAACCAAAGCCTAACCCTTTACAGATCATTGTTGAGTTCCAGAATTTTGTATTTCCCTCACAAAAGCTCATGATTGCCATGAGCTTTCCTCTGGTGGAGTCTCTGTCTTCTGTGTGCCTTTCCTCCAGACATGTGACTATTGCGAGCAAATTCACAACACTGCTTAGAAGTATCCCAAAATGTCATCTTGTTGAAAAGTTTGATAAAATTTATGGTTGCAGAATTTCATTGCAGAATTTCATTCACTTCTAGGGTGCTTACTGAGATATTTTAGTAAGCATTAAAAAAAACCCTTCAAAACAAAATTGTATTCTGTAGACTCTTCCAATTTGTTGATCACAGAATTTGAAGCATTAGTACGTTTTATTTGTTTAGTTGTTAGAACATAACACATTTTCAAGCTGTGAGGCTGGTGTACTCCCTTAGCTGTTTCACAAGCTCAAAAATGAAGTCCATGAATTCCAACTATTTTTAGAAATATAAACTGTGAGTGTTAAATTTAAATATGTAATTTAGACTTGCAAAGGGGACTGGTATGCTAAATTTGACTAGTCAGTCAAATGAAGCACATTCAGATTTTTAAGGTCTCCATGCAAACATTCATTTGAATAAGAAAAAAATAATTATAATTAATCAGATTCCACATCATAGCACCCTCCTGATGTGTTTAGAGTTGGACTACGGCTCTCATCATTCCCAGCCACCAATAACCATGCTGGCTGGGAATAATGGGATTTGTACTCCAAAGGTAACTGAAGTATGCCCAGTTGGGGGAGGCTGAATAAAGTGACATAAAATGTCTCTACCTCTTTTCCTTGCCAATCAAAGTGTAAAGGAAAAAGGCTTTGTGTTACTCTAGAGTAAAATCTTATTTCCAGCCCCACTGCTACAGTGTGGTTAAAGTGAAGTTTTCATTTCTTCTTCCTCAGAATTTGTCTTTTGAGGGTAGAGTTGAATGGTAGCTATATTAAAGATATATCAATGAGAATTCTCATTGATATTATTCAGTCAGACTTTGCATATAGTCCCTTACCCTTTGTGCCATATCATGCTCAGAGTTAGCACCATATCTTTTCTTCTGAGTTTGCCATTTCCAGAGCAACATACTTTGTATTTGATTGAAAATGTCCCATTCCAGTCCTCTTTAGTTGCTCACACCAAGTACAGCAACTGTTCCATTGCTTGCTTTATGGTTTCCAGGTTGCCTTGATCCATGCTTATCATGTTCCATGTTCCAGTTGTATGTACTGTGCAACACTGGATTTTCCTTTTGCCTCTGTGCATGTCAGTTACTAGACTTCCTTTTAGTTTTTATCTGGTTGCGCCATAAGCGACAGGGCTATTTGTGCTTGTCCTTTCCTCTTTGCCAGTGGTTATTTGAGTGCCTTCTGAGCTGGAAGTCTCATCTCTTGTTTCATTTTGGATTGTTTCAACACAGGGTTAACAAAGTAAGAATATTCAGAAGTGGTTTACCACTGCCTGCTCTACAGTACTAACCTGAGTTAGCTTGAGCATCACTGCCATTGTCTGTGAAAGATCTGCTGCCAGCTTTGCCTTCAGCCACCACAGCTGCTCAGCAGTGGCCCTTCAGGAGTTTCTCTGCTCCCATCACCATTGACCTATCTATTCTCTTCTGCTGATATGGCTGTTATTCTTGATGAGGGTGGATGCCTCTTAGTCCAGGGTGTCAACTTTGACTATTCTGCCTAGGAGACCTTGCTGGGAGACCAGCCTAGTGACTTCCTGGCAGCATTGCTTTTTTTCTGACACTCTCAAACTATTTCACCACATTAAGGTGTGCATCCAAGAAGTTGTTATTGATGTACCCAGAATATATTCACAAAGATATTACTGGAAAGGATCTGAATGCACAGGTAATTCTTTATAAGGCCAGAACATGCCATTGAAGTTGAGATGGGTACATGTGTTTGTGGTGGGGATATCATACAAAATGTGGGACTCCTCTGTTGGCCATGCAGTGTAAACTGATGTTTGCAAATTGCTGTTCTGTTTCCCCAGATTAGTTAATGATTTGTCCTTAAAAAGATATGTATCAGAAAGAATAAACTATTTTAACCTGTCTTTTTAATATGGGCTTTAGAAACATGTACATTTCCTTTTGCACTCTGTGTTGGGAATGGGTAAAGATGTAACTCTAATCTAGGATCCATCTCCAGTAGCCAACCACAGGCCCCTGGAAAATCCACAAACAATACATGAAGGCAATAATAGCCTTCCCTTGCTGCTATACTTCAGCAGCTACTTGGTGGTTCAGTGTCACTGAACCTGGAGGTTGCAGATATATGATGATGGCCATATTTTGTCCCATCCTCTTTACTAAATTCATCTCAGCCAGTAGCCATCACAAAATCTGATCCTACTGTGTTCATTGCTACAATTTAAAGATTTAAAATAAGCAAAAGTTGACTGAACAGTATCACTGGTCCTTCTTTCTAGCGATCTTGCATTCGTTGCTTTCTGTTGGTCCTCTGATTGCCCCAGGTTGCTTGATTGCAGTGGTGGGTGTGCTTTGTGTTCACAGAATGCCCATATCAGCAGGGAACTTCATGGCCGTTCTGGCTGCTGTGGACTTAGCTACTTTGATGCCACCATGTGCTTGTGGGGAGAGCTAAAATTTTAGTCTGGATTGAAGCATCATACATCAAAAGCCAGTCCACGTAGTTATGACAGTATTTTAAAGGATTTCAGATGAATCCTTGTGGGACAAAGATTGGCTGAGTGGAATGATGACATTTTACTGGAAAGGGACAGATGATTCTTGTTACTTAGGAGAGTTACGTACCGTAATGTAAAGAGCTGAAAATGTAGTATAATTCTGCCTAGGAAAGGGGTGGTCAGCTTGTGGCCCTCCAGATGTCTTGGCTTACATGTCCCGTCATCCCACATCACTGGCTATGATATTTAGGGCTAATGGGAGTTGTATGCCAAAACATCTGTGAAGATGCACAAATTTCCCATCTCTGATCTAGGGCTTCAAACACAGCTGAACAAAAGATGCAATTGTATGGGGTTACCTGTGTTGCATGGCATAAGAACTTTGCCCTTTGTCTGAAAAATTATGTTGCCTCTCATGTAATGTGGGATTTTGGAGATTTAAAATAATGTAGTGTGTATTTGTGTACAGTGAACTTGTATTTTTTTCCCCATCCACCTGAGACAGGGCAGGGATTGCTAAGAAGTAGATTGCCTTCAGGGTTTCTTTTGTCCTCAGCAGTGTAACTTGAAGTGGCACAGGTGAACTTCAGCTACCTTTGGAATTAGACATGTGCTATGTAGTTGGGTGTATTAGCTCTTTGCTTCAGGTAAGGGCAAAATACTAGGGTTGGTGCAAAATACTAGGGTTGGTGCAAAATAACTAATAAGTAGATTATAATTTAGGCTGTTTCTCAACCAACTTCCTTTAATCCCGCTGCTTCTCCTCTGCCCCCAGATATTTTTTTAAAGTTGTCAGCATCCCTCTCGATTTTGGGCTCTTGTGTTTTATCCACTCTTTTGGTTGCACACTTGATTTTTCTGCTACACAGATGGGTGAGGAAGCGAACTGTCCACCTGCATGATTTACAAATGTGTTAACATACTGGAAGGGGCACAGAAGAGTTAAGCTTAGCCCTCACCAGAAGCCTCAGAGCTATGATTTAGTAGAACATCCAAGGGCTTATTGTAGCTGGGAGGTTTTCTGTTGTGGCCTTTAGAAAAGCCTTCATAGAATCGCTAGTGATTCATGCTGGAGTCTATTAATACCCTTGCTCCACCTGCTAAGGTGGCAAAGTCAAAAGCAATAGGACATGGGTTGCAACTCTTTTTCAGGCCAGAGGGTGTTGCCAGTGACTGAAAGGTCTGTCCTTCCAGCTGTCACTGGGCAGTTCTTCAAGCGCAGCAAAACTATGTTTGAAAGCAGGAGCAGAGAGGGACAGTTTGGAGTAGAGCTTTGCAAATAATAACCATTGAGTGTTTTGCTGTGTGTACAGAACTCCTTCATGGCAGCCAGTTTCTGTGTTTCCAGATGTTGCGGTTGTTAAAACCTTTGCACAACACAGCCTTCCGCAGCCCGTTGCACATTGAGCTACCTCTCAGATCATCCCCAGCCAGCGTGATCATTGGTTGGGGGAAGGCTGTGTTATTGGGCAGTAGCCGGTGGTTCTTCCTGTGCCTAGCCATAAGTTTATAAGACTTCTCTTAAACAGAAAATTAGGAGGCAGGATGTCAGATGATGGGAGACCTAGAGCAGAATACCAAGGGTCAGGGTCTTCCTTGCTCATCCAAAATTCACTGAATTCCCGGCCAAGTGTCTCGGAAACAAACAAATGGTTTCTGCTCTTCCTGCATGGCAGGGATGTTTACAGATCTCTTTCCCCTTCCAGTGGAGTGGGCGGAATGCCTTTGTGATCTGTAGCCAGCATTCTCTTGACTGTTGTCCCACATGCTCTCTGTCAGTTGGCTAAAGCCGCACCTTCTGTTTGGTGTTTCACAATAGCATTATTTGTTGGGGATGCCCTTGAACAGCTGAAGCTATATGTTGCCTCTCCAGGGGACCACAAATTTTGTCCTGGCTTGGTAGCCAGCCTTTGCTCCTAGCTGCTTTTGCTTTGTTTCACTGGGACAAGCAAGCCCGTCCTTTTGTACCTGCTACCAAGGACGGAATAGCGATTAGGACACACAGTTTCTTTCTTTTGCCCGTGCTGCACCCAGTGTAAAGCACAGCCTGACACCACTTTCATAAGAGGTGCTCCCTGCTTAAAAGAAACAAAACAAAATCAAACAACCAGTTCCTCCTTTGGTCGCCACATTGGTGGTAAACGGTCTGGATGTTGGCAGAAGTATCATTGGTATATAATATTGCTGTAGTGGCTTAACATGGGCATAGGAGGAGCATCTGGCCAAACAACAGAAAAGTTCCTAGGGTTCAGAGCAGTGTATGCCTGAAGCCCCGAGGAGGCTTCTCCTGGCTTTTTAATTCTCTGTTTATGTTTTAAAAATGCAAGTAGGGAAGCAGAGTGAAATGGCCTTGTAACACTTGAATGGTTGGATAGAATTCTAAACAGGCCAGGACCAGATTTTAGAAACCTGCCCAGATGCCCTTTTTGACTTGCATCTGAACACTGAGACTTGGACTGGAGATGTCGTAATTTCCAGATGCTGCTTTATAAATGAGTTTTAAAAGATGAAAAGTAGGTGGGGATCATGTAACTATTAAACTAGAACTTTGAGAACAAATGAAATATGACAGTTAAATATATCTTGCATTTAATGTGTAGATTTGTCTATATTTAAAATGAAAATAGCATGAACTGTGGGATGGGGGAGGAGCTTACAGTTATTAGGATTGTACTAGATATGAAAGGAGAAGTTATAATTTCCTCACCTTCTGCAACCCTGGGGAAAATCCCTTTCCTGCTGCTATTTGTATTGGGAGAAGAGTGCAAATAACAGTTTCAGAGAAGGCATTTTCCACAAGACTGCAGCACAGGAGGAAACTGCTACAGTCCAATTAATTATCAGCTTCAGTGGAAGGACACATTTAGCATCACTCCTAGTTTGGCCCTAAGTAATATAATGCAAATTCTACTGATCAGCAGTTGATAGAGTTAGTACAGTGCAGAATCTGGCATGGAATCACTCTTCTCAGTGACTCAGATCCATTAGCCAGTGCCTAGGGGTACATCTGCTAGCATGTGTCTTCTTCACTTTGCTTAGTTTTGCACTTATAGGAATGCAAAGCTCTCTTGCTTTCTCTCTCCAGGAGTGTGGCTAGGGAGAATCCTTCACTAATTATTAATTCTGCTGGTGAGTAGATTTTGTCCACCATGCTGGTCCTATGAGCACTTCTGCATGCAAAGCAGATGGGTCACCAGCATGGACTAAAATGTGAATACAGTAGGGAGCAAAAATATCCTGAAAAAATATTTTTTCAGACATGCCCGTATTGTTAAATATATGAGGGGCTGTTTTAGGATCCTTTTAGATGACCTTGTAACTAACAAGATAGAAAACCATTTTGCCCTGCACTGCAAGTTGGTTATGGCTGGCATTGTTACTGTTCTATTTTTGAAAAGCAAAAGAGCTGTGCTGGGTCAGGCCAACGGCCTATCCAGTGCAGCATCCTGTTCCCACAATGTCCCAGTAGGGTAGAAGTGCATTAGCATCTGCCTACTCACGTCCCTTGGAAACTGGTGTCCATGCATACTGCTTCTCATAGCCATCAGGACCAGTTGTCATTAAAAAACCCTGCCCTCCATTAAATTGTATATTTCCTTTTTAAAGCTGTCCAAGCTGGTAGCTATCACTGTATCTTGTGATAGCAAATTCCATAATTTAACTATGTGCCTTGCAAAGAAATACTCCCGTTTATCTTCGTTGGATGACCCTAAAGCTTCCTCGAATGACCCACTTTCTAGTATTATGAGAGAAGGGAAGAGCAAATCTGGGAAAGGCTCAAACAGGACATTTGTTTTGCCTCAACACATCTTGTTTATTCTGTCCTGCATGAATGGCTACCTTGTAGGGCGTTCATAAGGTAAAGGTGAAAGGTGGCTGGGACCAATAGAGACCAGTTTCACTGGAATTATTTTCTCCCTGACCAGAGGCCTCTGGAAAGCCTGTGTCAGTGGCTGTCTTTGTGAGTGAAATCAGGATTGTTCAGTGTTTTTTGTTTTGTTTTGTTTTGTGGGCGAAAGCTGGGCACTGGGCCCCTCTGTCCTTTCTAAGCATACAAAGAAACAGTGGTATCCTTACAGTCCTCTGCACTGTCAAACTATTAAGTATTAAAGGCCTCTCATGGTGTGTTGGCAAGTGATTGACACTAAGCTGAAGCAGGTGCAGAGAGCATGGCGGCTTCCTCAAAGCTATGCGGGAGAGAACAACTGGACTAGGAAAACAGGCTCCCTGTGCTCATTGGTTGTTTGCCCTCTGGATTAGATAGGAGCTGGCCCGTTGACTGGCACACCAAGCTTGAACTGGAAGTGGGCCATGGGGGGGGGGGGGGGAAGGGGGCAAACCCGTATTTTTAGGTTTTTTTTTTTTTTATACAGCTGAAAAAGGGGTTGAAGCAAGACTCTAATGCACTGTCTGCCTTCTGCAGACTAAGGGCCTCAGGAGGATCTAGTAAGCTATATTTACATTCACACGCACACACATACTCACCAGTAGCTGCCTTGAATTTCCATAGCTTTTTTCCTGACTTCTCTGCTACCTGTGTAAACTTGGAAGTTCAGGAAACTTTGTTTTAAATTTGCAAATGTTCAAATAATCATTTAGTTGAATGTCCCATCCCTCCAGCCACTTACCTTCCTGCATATCTGTTCCACCTCTGTAGTCAGTTTGAAAAAAAAATCCAGCTCCAGCTATGCTGCAAGAAAAAAAGGAGGACATTTCATTGGTACACGTAAAGGAATAGTAAAGAAGGGAGGAGCACCTGAGCATGTGTAAATTTGTTTTCCTTGCCACTTTATACATTCAGGCTGTGGGACAGCAAAGTCGCCTGAACCTGAGGTATCTTTTCAGTTATTGAAGAAATGAAGACCACTTGAGGGGCCATAAATAAATCCCATTTGTTCTTGTTTGTGGGGAGCAGGGGCAGATCTTGTTCAGGGATCTCCTATACTTGGAAGCTCTGTTGTTTTCAGAATAGCTTGCTAATACCCTGCTTGCTTCTTTTTGCAGAACACTGCTTCTGACTGCAGACCCAAGGAATCGCCATGCATATCTACCTGTTGAGAGGTGTTTCAGAATCCCAAGCCTGCTCTATTTCTATCCTGATGGACCAGTGATGATGGACAGCTGTTGGCATTTTTGCCTTGGAAAGGAACTTTGGATGGATTTGCCATGGTGACATGAAAAAAGGCCAGGATGGATAATGGACGATCGCAGGGGCGTTCCCACATAGGCACTGCCTCTTAGTGAAATTATCCTTTGCTTTTCTTGAGTCAAGATCTGGAGGGAGGGAGGGGAGGGGGGCTGGGTGGGTGGGGTGGGGAAGCAATCTGAACTCTCTTTTCCAAAGCAAGGATGACTTTGGTAAGGTTCCGGAGGAGTTTCCGGCAGGTGTCTCCTCAGGTGGTGTTGTTCTTGCTCTTTGCCTTCTGCCTGCTCAGTGTTTTTGTCTCGGCTTACTATTTATATGGGTGGAAAAGAGGACTGGAACCCTCTGCAGACATCCCCAGTCCAGACTGTGATGAACCGAAGGTTGCCCCTTCACGTCTACTTCCATTAAAACCCATCAAGGTGGTAGATTCTTCTCGCACAGACCCTTTGGTTCTTGTTTTTGTGGAAAGTCTTTACTCTCAGCTGGGACAGGAGATTGTGGCCATCTTGGAATCCAGTCGTTTCAAATATCTGACAGAGATTGCTCCAGGAAAGGGGGACATGCCCACGCTGACTGATAAGGACCGAGGGCGCTTTGCACTGATAATCTACGAGAACATCCTGAAGTATGTGAACCTGGATGCCTGGAACCGTGAGCTCTTGGACAAGTACTGTGTGGAGTATGGTGTAGGAATCATTGGCTTTTTCAAGGTACTAGCATTGATCTGCAGGAGTAGATGGGGTAGGGGAGGAACCATTTTGTGAGTGGGAGGGGATGGAAGGGCAGGTAGTTCAATCCCTCCATGTGGCAGGCGCAGTGCAGCAGCAGAAAGCAGGTCCATCTCGCTATGCAAGGAGAAGCATGTCTTGGCCAACTCTTGCAGCAAAATGGGTGGTAGGAAGGGAGATATTTTTCTTCTGAGTGAATTTTCTGGCTTCAAATTGCAGAAGGTGATAATTTCGTAATGGTCTCCTACATATTAAACTTCTGCTTAAACTCCCAGCAGATAGAAAGGTAGCCCAAAGGACCAGGCTACTGTATTTTTCTGCATAATGTAGTAGTTTCCTTTTCATGGGTTCAAGATGGGGGTCTTAAGAGCCAGATCTGGCTCTTGTGCCTAGTCTAGAGTAAAAATGAAAAGAGGGAGAGACATAGCTGCCAGAGAGGGATGCAGAGTGATGTGTGTTTTGACCCTTAGTTGCTTGCACATCTGTCAAACAAGCTTAACTCTAGGATGCTCTTCAGTTGCCCCCTCTCTTTCTAGAGCTGAGCTTCCTACAGAGTTAGGGTCCCAGCACAATTTTCTCTGCCCAAGAATTGAAATGATAGAAGAAAGTTCCACCATAGTCTGTCTACTTGCTTCTGCATTAGTATGGCAACAGGGCTGGAAGTGAATGTAAGTTAGAAGGTTTGGCACAGCAGCATGTTTCTCTTGAGTTCTGGCACCATTTCTTTGAATGGGCCCTGCCTGATCCAATTTATTTTCCAGGCAAAAACCTCATATTACACCAAGAGAGGTGTTGTATGACAGCACCCTTAGTTGGCTCATGTTTGAAGAGCTGGAGGGACAAGAAGATACGCAGTCTGCAGAATGTCAGCCTTTCTTGGACACCTTCTCATTGTCACTGTTTGCTATTGAATGGCTTGATATCTGACCAGTGCCAAGCCTGATAGTAAAAGTGCTGGGTTTTTTTAACTGATGCCAAGAGCGGATTTACAAATTTGCGTCTTTTGAGATGGGCTATGTTGCTGTAGCTCTACTGATGACAGGGCAAAGATAACAACAGTGGTCTTTGGCGGGAAGTTGGGTAATGTGTGAAGAGAATACTAGGGGTTTGTGGAACACTGTAATGTCTCTGCCTAGCAGTATGGTTTGACAAGGCTACCTTACCCTGGATGCCTGCTTTTTTGGTGACTACTGGATTGAGCTTTGTAGGAGGCATAAAGAAAAGATGCAAAGTGAATATTTTTACCTTCTACATGGTGTCAGCCAAGGCAATCCACAGGATTCTTGTCCAGGTCTCTTGCATTTCTGTCCCTGAATGGGTAAGCCAAGAAGGCTAAGAATCCAGGAATGAAGGGTGCTAAATAGGGCTATATTCTGAGACCTGGAGCTGTCTTGCTGCTTTTGGTAGACTCTTGCAAAGATTTTCTCTTGCTTTTCTGGCTCATTCCTGAGAATGTTCACACTATAATTAATTGGTTAACTTTTCAAAGAGCCAAAGGAAAGTCTCTCTTGCTTCCTGTACATCTGGGTCTCAATTCATTTATGCAATTACATCATTGGGAAATATATGCTTGCCTGTTTAATATGTATAATATATGCTCTATGTTAATCAGCTTCCAGAGATTAACAGATGGATGAAGCCTGTTATGTGTTAGTTCATCACCCAAAGTCGTCTATGTGTGTTTCAGTCTTCATTGATTTCTCTGGTTAGAAAGTTCATAGACCACACAACATGCACATTGCAATAATAAAGTAGCTTAGTGCACGACCCCTCTTTCCCTTGACATGAGTGGGGAAAGTGGAAGGCATGCAAGAGTCGTCACTAGAATGTGTGAACAGCACTCTCTACATCAATGTCAAGATTTCTTAGTTCTGTAGGAGGTCCCTTGAGAAGCATCTGTATTCATCTACTGTAATGTAAGCAATGTGACACCATGTGACGTCCACCAGGATCTTGTGAAGCACAGCTGTGTTATACCTCTTCTTCCAGCACTCCCTGTCTTACCACCCTTTTCTTTTTTATGTATGTGGAAGTATGAAATGAAGAGGAGGAAAATCTTGAGTTTTACTCTAATCTATCTCAAAACAACTTTCTTTAGTCTCTCATCGAGCTGCTTAAAATCAGTATCTTTTCTTTTTCTTTCCTTACCATATTTCTGAATGAAAGGTGGTTCTGTTACCTCTCTTTAGAGATGGGGTATGCATTCAGATGCTGTCAACAGCTCCAGACTTGGTGTGTGACTTGGACAAGGTGTGGAATTAAGTGGTAGAGGTGTCATAATTTTCAAAATTCATTCTCCTGAACAGCATTTTATGCTGACAACTCACTCCTTTTTTTAGTTGTTTGCTTCTGAGTATGAGGAAGCAATTTGGCTTTTTAATTTCATAGAGCATTTTCCTCTACAACATATTCAGTAATGAAGATGTTTTTAGTTCTCCTTGCACTGGTCACATAAAGCTATTCTGTTTCCTTTTGAGTATTGCTGGTACTTAAATTAGAGATGAAATGGAGGTCTGTTTCTTCACCCCCACTTTCATGCTCCCTCTCTACTTTTTTCTAAGTGTTGGTAGCTGAGAAAGTTTTTGTATATGATGTCACTATTAAATAAGTTTTTACAGAACAGAATTAAAGAGCAAAAAGGGAATTTTGTGCAAATTCTCTGTGTCCATCTAAGGAGGAAACTCCAAAGGTAATGCAAATGAAATAATCACTAACACACGGTCCCTAGGTGCATCTCTCTCTGAATGTCACAGTCTTGGCTTAGTTTGCCTCAAGACAGTACGTAAGTGTTGGGCTGGATCACTGCAGGTTGCAGATGAGCACTTACATAGTGGAATGACTCTCCATGAAAATTTGCTTTTCTTCCGCGTGGAAAATTAGATTCCAAAGAAAAGCGGAGATTGTGTTGTGTTGTGTTGGTAATGAAGGAGCACTTGATCACTTGAGCTCTCATCTGCACTCTAAAGTGGTGCAGCTCATCTCATGGAGGGTGGGGGGCTTGTTATTAGTCTACGAGGCCATATCCAGAAGGGTAGTCCAGGAGACTTTAGAAACTAGAACTGGGCTTCTGAAGACCACAACAAAATGGCTGGTTCACGGTGTGGTTTATTGAACCCAAGGCCCATGGTATGACTCAGGGCACCTTATTGCCTAACATGCTTCAACATAGAAACTGTGTTGGAGATGGGGAAACAGTGACCATTTTAAAGCTGGTTGGAAGCTCCCAGACAACAAACAGAAACCAAAGTTAGGGCAGAACTCTTGGAGTTGAACAAGGGTGCTTGGCGTGAGACAGGATTGCAGTCTGTAAACTGCAGGCTTCCCTTTCCTCTAGGTCTGCCTTAGCCAACCTGGTGCCCTCCAGATGTTTTGGGCTTCAGCTCCTGTCACTCCCAAGGAGCACAGCCAGTGGTCAGCTTGGGGGGAAGGCTGCACTAGATGCTCTAGTACTGCTTTTTCTTCCCAAAATTGGCCATGCTTCATTCTTGAGACTGTTACAGTGGTAGTTGGTAAACGCTGTTCTTTTCAATGGTTCGCAACATCAGAGCATGTTTTTTATTTCTCCAGTGGCAGTCTGCCCTTCTTTCTGCTTCTCCTTGCTTTAATTGGTACCTGATGAATTTCTGTCTGAAGTGGTCATTCAGTTCCTGTGATTTCCCTACAGGCCAATGAGAACAGCTTGCTGAGTGCTCAACTGAAAGGCTTCCCTCTCTTTCTCCACTCCAACCTTGCGCTTAAGGACTGCAGTATCAATCCCAAATCTCCGCTTCTATACATCACTCGGCCCAGCGAGGTGGAGAAAGGGCTTCTTCCAGGGGAGGACTGGACAGTATTCCAGTCAAACCATTCCACTTATGAACCTGTCCTCCTGGCCAAAACCAAGTCGGCAGAATCTATCCCACACATGAGCATTGATGCCGCACTCCATACCACTGTGGTTCAGGACTTGGGTCTGCATGATGGCATCCAGAGAGTGCTCTTTGGCAACAACCTGAACTTCTGGCTGCACAAACTTGTCTTCGTGGATGCAGTTTCCTTCCTCACTGGCAAGAGGCTTTCTCTTCCCCTTGACCGTTATATCTTGGTAGATATAGATGATATCTTTGTTGGCAAGGAAGGCACACGGATGAAGGTGGATGATGTCAAGGTAATTATACCCAAAGCGCTTGAGTTTTGCTTTTCGGGGATATAATGGGGCTGCTAATTTGTGGATCCATTAGTTAGGATCAAAGCTACAGGTTATTGCTTATTCTGCTACCTGAGTCATTGTGCTTCAGTCAACATAGGAAAATTGACAATTAAAATCCAGAATATATAACAATATGCCCCCTTTGTTATGGAATTTTATTAATTTAGACACAGAAACCCATATCCACTCAGCATAAAACCCAATGTTATTGCTTTGGTTGCAAACACTTAATTAGGATTGTTATAAAGAGTTGCATACATAAAAATGTGTGGCTGGGTTTTTTGTGCTTCAATTAGCAGTAGAATTAAAATACTATGGGTTACAATGAAATAGCTTATTCTTTAGCTTATTGGATAACATGTTTAGCTTATTGTGCAACTATCAGAGCATCTGAAGAAGACTATAGTTTACAAAACTCATTCTCTTTTTAAGAGAATGAGTTTTGTAAACTATAGTCTTCTTCAGATGCTCTGATAGTTGCACTTTTGTAAGACTATTATAGTCTTACAAAACTCATTCTCTTAAAAAGAGCTTGCTATTTTGTACATGGTAAAGGCAAACATATTTTAAGAGTATGAGCTTTTGTAAGACTATTATAGTCTTATATGCAGGTACTTTTTAAAATAAGAAACAAGTCAAGAGAGCTCTGAACTAGGGGCAAAATATAGCTACTTAAGGGGAACATTACCTGAAGGAGCGCTTGCATCCATATATGCCCAGCCGCCCCTTGAGATCGGCGGGGGAGGCCCTTCTCCGGGAACCCTCCATGAAAGAAATTAGGAGGGTGGGTACTTGGAGGAGGGCTTTCTCTGCGGTGGCGCCTAAGTTATGGAACGCGCTCCCCAGAGAGGTCCGCCTGGCGCCGTCGTTATTTGTTTTTCGGCGCCAGGCAAAGACCTTTTTATTCAAGCGGCATTTTAACTGTTAACATTATTGGTTTTATCTGGCCAGGGCGGCTTATTTTATACTGTATTGCTGTATTTTAATTTTATATTTATATTTTAATTTATATTATAATTATTTTAATTTATTGATGTGAGTCGCCCCGAGGCTTCGGCGAATGGGGCGGCATAAAAATGTTTTAATAAATAAAAAATAAAAATAAATTAGCTTTGAATTACAATGCATATTAGCTTTGAATTACACAGTATATGTAGCATGTAATAATATATGTAGTATATTACATAGTATATTATCCAATACAGGTAGCCAAAGCAAAATATTCAATTTTTTATTGCTCACATTTCAAGGCTTGTATTACCAGTTGACTGCTGAGAAGAGTTGATGTTGGTAGGGGGTATTAGATTATTTTGCTTTTTGCAGAGAAATGATGGCTTATGTCTTGGACTCCTTTTATGCAAGAAAAAAAAATACATTGTTCAACTAAGTTTACACTGGGTAACACATCCCTGTCTCAGTTTTAATAAAATAATTCAATCTGCTATCTTAACAAAAGTGAAGATAGATACTGAACATCCTAGATAACCAGTTTAATGAATATGCTGCAGTCAAAGATTTAAGGGGCACCTGCTTTCCAAACAAAGGCCCATCTCTCCCAGGAGAGCAGCTCACATGTGCTTGATGGAGAACATTCGAATGTTTCCTCCTGACACACCTCCACTTCCAAATAGATAGTATTTCTCTACCTGCTTTTTGTCCACATGATCCACCCAGCCATCTTCAAGCACATCTCATATTAGCATAAGTGATGTAAGGGCACATGGTCAAAGCCAAAGACTGGTACTGCAGTCTCCTTGCATTTGTATTGGTGGCATAGAGGATGATGCCATGTGGCCCTCTCTCTCACAGTTGGGGTAGTATGTATGAGGAGCCTGACGCCATGTAAGAAGTACTGGTGGTGCTGCTCCCTCGGCATTGACCCTCTGGAAGCTGGCATTTGCATGCATGGGAAGGAGCCTCAGATAGGGTTGCTGCCCGGTGGCCTCGAGTTTCTTACACGTCCTGGTGGCATGGGACCACGGAGTTTGGCTGTAGCAACTCTTGTGTCACTGCAAGAGCAATGTGAGGAGAGGGCCTGAGGCTGTGTGCAGCTAGTTCCACTTCCTGGTGTGTTGCCGCATGCTTGCAGAATTCAGGATAGTCGGCTTTTCATTCTCTGGCTGTGCCGGATTAAGAATTGTGGGCAGTGGAATAAGCAGAAGGATCAAGGGGCCTGGCAGCATCGCTGTAACCATAGCCCAAAGTTGTCAGTGCACGGCAGTGCTGAGCAATCACTAGCCCTGAATGATTCCTTCCTGTCCTCTGGAGCTGAGGACAGATCACTGTGCTTGCTGTAAACATACTCCAACCTGACTTCCATTGCAGAAGCAAAGAAAGTAGCTCAACACAAGCAAATATCTCCCCTATTATTCCTTTTTTTGCCTTTCTGTGACAGAAGGCTAAAAGTACACTGTCTAAATATAGATCCCATTGAGTGACATGAAGACAAGGAAAGTATTGGAATCAAATGATTAATTGACATGAGGGATCCAGTTATCTGTAGCAACTCATAGTACACCTTTAATATGAGCTATATGCTCATTTTATCTAGACTCCGGGCAGAAGGAGTTCTCAAAGGGGGAGGGGTCAGGGATAACTTTGCACAAGTGTCCCTCAAACTTGTAATGTTTATAAATGACATGCATATGCTATGGGTTTAAATGTTAGTTTTTTCCTCTCATCCTGTAGGCTCTGTTTGACACCCAGAATGAACTGCGCACCCATATCCCAAATTTCACTTTCAATCTGGGTTACTCAGGGAAATTCTTCCACACAGGTAAGAATGGAAGTGCTATGCTATGGGTGTAACATATATTATCTTATTGGTCTTGTAAGATTGTCACTTTAGGTGCTTCCTGAACCATAAGTTTTACCTGCTAGAACCTAAACTTGCAGGTTGCTGAAGACACCAAATAATGTGGTGATGGTGTTACAGACCAGATCTAGTAATGAAGATTCTTTCTCCACTAACTTTTGTCCTTGGAGATCAGGACTTCTGGATTTGATTAATCTTTGACCCAGTTCACATTGTGCAGTCACCCAAGATTTGTTAATCCATGAGTCATTGTGGGTGAAGCAGGAGCACCCATTCTAGTTCACGCCATCCAACTGATCCCTCTGCAACTGGACAGGACTAAACAACGCAAGGATGCTGTGGCCTTGGGTTGCTTATTTTGATGTCCAAACCTGGGATTGGATTGTCAAGAGAGGAATAATGCTGACTTGGAACCAAGAACAAATAATGGATTGTCTGAATAATAAGTCTGAATTGTTCCTCCTGAAAATTTCAGGTTCAGACTTCAATGAGAGTGGAGTCAGCTTGCTCGCTCCTACCTGTTCACAGATAACCAGAATTTAAACAGACTCTGGGGGGTCATGGGGTGTACATCAGGTAATGAGCTGTGTTACAGGCAGTTACTGCTGCCCTTTGTAACTTGCAAAAGGTTTGGGTAGTTTGCACCTGTGAGGAATGGCTTTTCATTCATGACTTCAGCCTTTAGGAGTTATGATGATGATTTGGACCTGACAGGTACGGATGCAGAAGATGAGGGAGATGATCTGCTGCTCTCGTACGTGAAGGAGTTTTGGTGGTTCCCCCACATGTGGAGTCATATGCAGCCTCACCTCTTCCATAACCAATCTGTGCTTGCTGACCAAATGACCATGAACAAGAAATTTGCTGTTGTGAGTAAGATGCTATTTAGGGCCAAAAGATGGTGGGGGCAGAGCATGGGTCTTATCTCAGAGCGAAGAAGGTACTAGCTTGTGAATGGGTTTCTGTTAAAAATGGAGGTACATCACAATTGTACCCTTTGGAACATATAGTGAATTGGGCTTCCAGGAGAAATATGTGGTTTGTTTCCACCCCTTCAGTTCACTGACTGTGGCCCTGCTTTATGTGCTCAGTCATTGATCTGCAGTTCTATCAGTTCTTAACAAAACTACTGCCACCACTGCACCTCACAACTTGCATCAGATGCTTGTAAGCCTGCAAGTTCAGAGGCTTATGAGTCTTTGACATGGGGACAATAAGGGTGCAGTCTTCTTTATTCATTCAGCTTCTTAATTCCAGTAGCCTTGTCAGATTCCAGTAACACCTTTCAATGCAATTCTTTGACCTTTTTTTAATAGTATATGTGCTTCCAAGCAACCAGTTCTTCATGGTGCATTCAGTAGGATGCACATTTCACATTGCTTTGTATCATTTCATCATGGCAGAGAATCAGTTTGAGCGGGGAGAGGACTAAAATACTAAATCTTTAGTATGTTTTTCAATGAGCTCTGTAAAAGTTGTACACTAGTATGTCATACAAAAATTATGAACCTGAGAGCTCTTTCCATGCTATTATAAGAATAACTGAAAAATCAAGAGGGAGAGGGAGAAGCATAAAATCTTGCATCCCTTTTTCCCCAAGGGAGAGTTGCTTGGACATGACATAGAATGCCTTTTGCTTGTGAAATGGTATAAATATAGTAATCTAGATTTCTGTTATTTATTTAACCCTCTTATAACTACTGGAGAATTTTGAGATGGGGCACATGGGGTGAATAAACTCCTTCAAGCCCATTCTGCAGGCAAAAAATGCTAGATATAGACAAGTTGAGCATTGATCTACCCCACTGGTTTGAGAAACAGTAGCAGAATCCTGTGTCACCGGTTGCCTGCATGCATGCCACTAGTTCAGTACATTTTTCTCTGTCTTCTTCTTGAACCCTGTTGCCCCATTTCTTGATGAAAGACCCTGACACTTGCCTCTGCTAATTTTGGTTTAATATCCTGGCTGTTGTTGTTGCTTTCACGGGCTTGATGGTCACCTGGAGTGTAGGTGAGGGGAGTACAACATGAAGGCTGCACAAAATGTATTTTTTGTGAGCCACCCTGAGGCTTTGTTGCGATGGGGGCGGCATAGAAATGTTTTAAATAAATAAAAATAAAATAAAAATGTGATTGGATAGGCACACATGTGGTGTGCAGGCCATTGGTTGGTCATTCCTGTTATTGATTGGATGTGGGAGTAGGAAGATGTTTTTAAAAACTGAAAGGTTGGATCATTTTCACGTGCAGTAGGATTCTTTCATTAAAACTGTTTGTTTTGGCTGCTGCCACTACAAATTGCCTTCTTGCCTCTTAGGAGCATGGAATTCCCACTGATATGGGATATGCAGTGGCACCCCATCATTCAGGGGTGTACCCAGTCCATGTGCAACTGTATGAAGCCTGGAAACAGGTATGGGGGATCAGAGTCACAAGCACTGAAGAGTATCCTCACCTTAAACCAGCCCGCTATCGACGAGGCTTTATCCACAATGGAATTATGGTAAGTAATAAGGGTTACAGATCACTTACATGCTCTTTTAATCCTCTTGTGGTACACCAACCAATCAAGGGACAACTCGTCCCATTAGTATTCTAGGGCATTTGCTAACATAATTCACTAGATAGATCAAAAACACAGTACATAATACTGTTTAAAATCTGGGCTTAACAGTCTCAGCTTTTTGTTGCCCAGGACAAATGCATTTCTGTTAGTCTAATATGCCATAGTAATTTATTTGGTGGGGGTATTTCTGTATTTCTTAAAGCACAAATGCATTGTTTTTGACACAGTTTGAAAAAGTTCATGTCAAGGGAAATTGCCAATTAAAAACAAAATTAAACAGGTACAAAAAATCTACTTTTCTGTCAAAAGACTGATGGGGAGGGTGTTGCTACTTTTCCCAAAAGGGATAACTCTCCTTTTCTAGAAAAACTTCCACAGTATGGAGCTATGGCTGAAAGAACCTGGGTTTTAGATTTTATTGTCCAAATCCAGTGCAAGCAGAGAGCAAACAAGATTCTTCTGACGGAGATTCAGTTGGCCAGTGATGTCATATGGGACAGCAGAGACCTTCAGATACGAGGGTCCCAGGCTATACAGAACTTTAAAGCAAGGACTGTATGTCTTCTAGATGGTGCTTCCATCATCTTTTCCCATGGGTCCTGCTGGCATCTAGAGGTCCCCACATAACTGCCTCTGCTTTAAAGGTTGAAGCCAGTCCTTTAGATTAGGCCCGGAAGCCCCTTGACAGCCGATGTGACAGGTACAGGATTGGCTGAATATGCACCTGTCTCCCAGCACCTGTTACATTGCATTGGGATCTCAGGCGAGGGGGATGTGGTGCTGAAGTTCAGCACCCTGTGCTACAAGGTATGTAGCAATGTTTTACACAAAATGTCTTAGTTGTTTTTAAGGCAGTTCCATGTAGAATGCATTTCAATACTCTTAAATTAGGTAAATATGGACCAATCTAGTGACATCTACCTTGTTAAAGAAGAAAAGCCTCCATATTGAGCCACAGCAGGAAAGGCCCTCCCAAGCAGCAGCTCTGAGCTTTGCAGGGGTCCAAGAAAAGGCCCATTGCCTCTTCAGAAAGTTCCACCGTATCTCTTCCAGACCCTGGCCAGTTCCCACTGGCATTGCCTCCACATCTTGTCTGGATTCACTTTCAACCAATTTTCCCATATCCTCTTACCCCTAGCCTCCAAGCACTCATTTTAAGGCCATAGAAAGTTGCTCTTAGATGCCTAAGTGAAAAAGAGGGCAGGAGAGAAACCTGGATGGCATCAGCTTATTGTCAACACCTGGCTCCAAAGCCAGCAATGAACTGTTGTGAACAGCTTTGTATAGATGGCGAAAGTACTGAGGGTTGGTACAAATTTGAAAGTCTTGCATGATCATCTGAAACATCTATATTCTATAATGTCATGTTGAAGCAACATTGGCTGACATTTCAGGCTGGTTTAAGTTTTGCTTAGTGTAAACAGATGAGTTATAAAAGGAGGTAGAATGGTACTTTATAAAGAAATAATAAATGACATGGAGGGGAAAGGGCCTGTATGATTTCAATTTGTCCGTGTAAGAAATACATTGATTCAGAAATATGGGATGTTCCGGAGAGATCCAAAGCTGAGGAGCCTTTGAACACAAAGCTTTATCTGGGAAATGGTAGAAGCAGCTTTTAAAGCAAGAAGTAAGCTGGCTTGATTTTCAGGCAAAAATGGAAAATCCATGGAGAAATTCATCTTCAAAGAGGAATGGCTTTGGGAAAACATAATTAAAATATTATTAGTGTGGCAATGAAGGAGAATTACTAGAAATTGCAATTTTGGTGGCATCTCTGATGGGTCTTGAAGATATCAGGGTTTAAGAGCAAATTCTGGGGGTGTTTTTAAAATGATTGTAAGAAGATTTTAGAGAAAAATAACTGAATGAATGGGAATCATATCCCAAATAACTCAAAAGAATGCACTTTTAGGAATTGTTATTACGGTTTGTCTTACAAGAAGATTTAAGAGCTGGTTTTATATTTCATGTTAGCTTCAGCTAGAATGTGTACAGCTACAATTTGAAAATTTGTTAAAGTGGAATCATAATTAGATTAATTTGGACAAATTCTTCCTTATTATAAAGTAGTGAATGGACCAAGCTTCACATGGGCTGGAGTTCCCCTTAGCTTGATGCTGGGAAACTATGGAGCAAATTTACATATCTGAGAGAATTCAAAACATTGTGCCCACTCCATCTGGATGAAGCCATGGTGCCTGCCATGGGGCATTGCTGTAGAGGTCTACCTACCCCATTTTTCTGAAGTTGGACTGCCCCTTCACAGAGGCAAAGGGTTTCCTTAGCCTACGAATTTCCTGTCACTTCAGGTTGTATGGAATGCAAACCAATATGCTGTCCAAGGAAGTCTGCTCCCTGTTGGCAGAAGACATTTCTGTAGGCTTCAGTCACATTGACGTTAATAAAAAAGAATACTATTAAAAATGTTTTATTGTATTTTATGTGTTCTCGTAAACCACTGAAAGAGCTTTGGTTATCAAAAGGTATAGATACAGAATAAATAATAAGAATGAGAACAATAAGAATGACCCTGAGGTGTGCTCCCCTAGCATCCCTTGGTATGCATGCTAGTTTCCAGTTACTTAAATTTCACCATCTTGATACTGTGATGTATCATGCTGTCCTTCCAGCCAGCCATAATGATAGATGGAGAGAAGGACAGACAGACAGACTTCCATCCTCTTATTAATATAGAAAAAGAAAGGAAAGAATATTGTCAAGTGCAAAACATTAGGAACATAAAGTTCTAGCCTATTGAACAGCCTTAAATGTAGTTTTGAGACATGTCATGAGCTGTGCTTCTCCCTCCAAACAGTATCAGTCTCACCAGCATTTCTTTGCTTATAATCTTTTATTGTTACGTTCAAGTCTCTGAGCGAAATATTAAATCTTTAGTATGTGAAATGTTGAGCCCATTCTTCTGTTCAATACCCAAAACTCTCTATATGATCCTTTTGCATCTTGCCTCCAGGAGAGGGGTGCTGTGAAAGCGGGCATGCCTGCACTTTTCCCATTGTGTTCCTAATTGGATTTCTCTCCAGTGATGTCTAGCAACTGGGTCTACCGCTTCAGGAGACAGGAGTTCCCCATTGGAGAAGCTACCCATTTCAAAGCCTCCTCCCTTCAGGGTGCAACTCCTTCCTGTTCCCTCAGACAAGTACACTGTTCCCTTCATCTGCCCCAGACTGATCTCCCTCACAGCTAATTCCTGTGGAGTCTCTGGACCTAGAACCACAGCTGAGGTTTGAACTGCTTTAAAGACAATTCCATCATTGGAATCTGAACGGGTAGCCTCCCATGTGCCCCTGAAATTTGCCAGGACATGCATGCACAACATTTTCTTCCTTATACAAGGAAAATAATGCACATCTACTTTATAATAAAAACTTAAAAGAAAACTAAAATGTTATAGATGAGAACATATAACCTTGAGGAATCTTGCAAAATTCCCATGAAGCTGATACAGTCTTCTAAATGTTCTCCAATGAGTTCTATAGGACAAAAAAGAGCCAGTCCTTTGAGAGGCTCTCTCTGATACTTCCAGGTGCTCAAAATGGTCCACATTCAAATGTAATTTGTTATTACATTTTTATTCCTCATGTCTAGAGCAAGAGGGATGGCAGGCCTAGGAAAGACAAGCCGCATCAAATAGACTTATTCAGATTCAGAGGAGGAAGAGGAGGAATGTTTCAGTAAGATTGGGGAGCTTGGCTTGGGTCTTGGGATGCAAGAGGAGGAGGAGGGGATGATTGTCTTCAGGCTGATCATGTTGCTGTGCTGGACTGTTTCTAAGAGCAGCTTTGAGTTGAGAGTTGGGCAGGGAGGCTGCAGGGAATGAGGAACTCCCAGACACAGACGAACGCCTCCTCTCAGAGCTGGCCCCGTGGCAAGGTACTGGCAGAGGCGAGGGACCCAGTAGATGAGCAGTGAGCTGAGAGGAGTGTGCCCACTTTCAGAGGGCCCTCCCAAAAGGGTGGGACACAAATATGCTCATCACAAGATTACGTTCAACAAACTGCTTTGTTGAGACTAGTTTAGATGATGTACATTTGGAAGCAATAAAGAGTGCTTTACAAGAGAAATGGCCTGGGGCTGGTGTTTGTTCGAAGGAAGAAACACAACACGGCTTGCTTGCGACACTACCTCTTCCTCAAGGAACTCAGGCTTGCTCATGTGGCCCCCCTTCCTCTCCACATTATCCTCACAATAACCCAGTGAGTTACAAAGTGAGCTTCAGGACCAAGTGGGAACTGGGACTGAATTTCCCAAGTCCCAGTCCAGCACTTTAACCACTCTGTTGCACTAACTGTCTGCGATATCCAATAGAATTGATGATGTTCAGAGATCATGTAATCTGATCCAAAGGGGCAGCTGCTGTATTCTGACTCTATCCTTGAGGCTTGTGGAGTGCAGTGAGATTTGAGCAGGAAGAGAGATTTTCCTCTTGGGAAGTAAGAAATGGGACATAATTGCCTCCCCAGCCCCTTCTCACCACATACTACACACTTGGATGTATTTGTTACCTCTATATTTCATCGTCTACTCAAGCATCTTGGAGTGGTGTGTTTAACCTTGCAACAGCTTTTAGAAATAAAGGTGAGGAATTTGATCTTCCAGGTGTTACTGGATTCCAACTTCCATCAGCCTCAGGCAGCCCAGCTAGTGGGGGTATGTTCTTGCCCTCCAGGTCAACTTGAGACCCTGGATGATATCCTGACAGATTCTAAGGATATCTTGGGGGAGGGACACAGTAATTATGGGAGATTGCAATCTCCCGGATATTAGTTGGGAGATTTACTTAGTGGTGACAGCCAGGCCATGAGACCATGTCGCTTCCTAGACACTATAGAGGGAGAGTTTTTTCACACAGAGGGTCTGAGAGGCGATGTGGGGGAGCGAGGAAGGAAGACAGGACATCCTTGACCTGGTTTTGACCAACAAGGAGGAGCTGATAGATGAGGTACAGATTAGGGGAGCTCTGGATGCGAGTGATCACTGCATCCTTTGCTTTGAAATCAGGGGAATGGGGATGTGCAGCAGGTCGAGCACTAGAAGCTGCGACTTCAAGAGGGCCAACTGAAGGCCAGACTGGGGAAAGTCTCCTGGGATAGGTGACTGGAAGGCAAGGGAGTTGAGGAGGGGTGAATGGCACTCAAAAGGGAGATTTTGGAGGCGCAAGCCTTGACGATACCTCTAGTCAGTAAGGTGGGGAGGCGGAGGAGAGTGCCGCCATGGATGTGAAAGGAGGTGGTTAGAGGGATTAGACACAAGAGGAACCTCCGTAGGAAATGGGTACTGGGACAAATAGACAAAGGGTACAACGGGAGGAGGAGGCCCATTGCAGAAGGATTCTTCACAAGGCTAAGGCTGATTACAAGCTGAGACTTGCAAAGAATATCAAGAGCAACAAAAAGGGCTTCTATCAGCATGTAAATAGCAAGAGGATAGGGAGACAGGTAGTGGGACTGCTAAATAAGGAGGAAAGGGATCTAGTGACTGATGTGAGGGAACAGGCACAGATGCTAAATGACTATTTTGCCTCTGTGTTCTCCCCAAAGCAGGACCGGGATGATCCGCATGGGAGATTAAATGAGGCCAGGGACTTAGGGGCATAGATTAGAGTCACCCCCCTAGAAGTTGAGGAGCTCCTCAGGGCACTGAACATTGCAAAGGCCCCGGGCCCTTTCGGGTTACAACCTAGAGTACTTCAAGAGTTGGCAGGGATTCTCTCATGCCCGCTGGCCTCCATTTTTTAGGCCTCATGGAGAACGGGTGAATTTCCAGAGGAATGGAGGGTGGTGTCAGTCGTCCCAATTTTGAAAAAGGGTAGTAGAAGAGACATGGGGAATTACAGACTAGTTAGCCTTACGTCCATTGGAAAGAATCATAATACTGAGAGATCTAGTGATGCTAGATATGGAAGGGAGGCTGGCGGCCACACAACATGGCTTCCACAATAACAGGTCCTGCCAGACAAACCTTGTGGAATTCTATGACAAAGTTTCAAGGTGGCTAGATGGAGGGGATACAGTGGATGTGGTTCACCTGGATTTCAGCAAGGCCTTTGACAAAGTGCCCCATGATATCTTGGTTGAGAAATTGAGCGGTTTTGAGATAGACCAAAGCACTGTCCAAGGGATTAGGGCATGGTTGACTGACTGAAGGCAGAGGGTAACCATTAGTAGGGAATCATCAGGTTGGTGGCCAGTGACATGCGGGGTCCCCCAGGGCTCTGTCCTGGGACCGATCCTGTTTAATCTTTTCATCAACGACATGGAAGAAGGGGTGAACAGTCTACTGATCAAATTTGCAGATGATACTAAAACTGGGGCAGTGGCCACAACTGAGGAGCAGATACTCCAGATCCAAAAGGATCTGGACAGACTATGAAAGTGGGAAGGAGACAACAGGATGGTGTTCAATGTGGATACGTGCAAAGTCTTGCACTTGGGACATAGGAATGGGTGTCATAAGTACAGGTTAGGGGATAAGTGGCTGGAGAGCAGCACTTGTGAAAGGGATCCCAGGGTGCTGGTTGACTGCAGGCTAAACGTGTCAGCCGTGTGATGCGGTGATCAAGAAGGTGAATTACACCCTTGGTTGCATAGCCAGAAGCATGGCGTCTAGATCGAGAGAGGTATTACTACCACTCTATATGACTCTGGTGCACCCACAACTGGAGTATTGTGTTCAGTTTTGGGCCTCTTGTTACAGGAAGGATATAGCCAGGTTAGAATCAGTGCAGCGTAGGGCCACAAGGTTGGTGGCCGTTTTGCAGGGAGAGCCATTTGAGGCGAGATTGAAGGGACTGGGTCTTTTCAACCTGGAGAAAAGGAGACTCCGAGGGGATCTGTTGGCGACATACAGGTATGTAGGGGGTGTCACATGGAGGTGGGTGGGGACCTGTTCTCCCCTGCAGAAGAAGGCAGGATGCGCTCCAATGGAGCAAAGCTCAGGGAACCAAGCTTCAGTTTGGATGCCAGGAAGTACTTTGACAGTTTGGATCCCAAGGGTATGGAATGGGCCTCCTCAGGAGGTGGTTGAGGCCCCATTGGTGAGGGTGTTCAAGGATAGGCTGGACATGCACATGGTGGACATGTTGTGAGTGGAGCCAGCTGGGGCCAGGAGTCAAACTAGATGGCCTGGGAGGCCCCTTCTGACTCGCTCTGTTTCCATGTTTCTATGTTATTAGGGTGATAGGCATTACAAACTACAAACATCTGGTTTCTCTTCTTGTGTTAGACTGTGGAAAACAGTGACTTTTCCAAGGGAAGAGAGTAGGCTTTCCTGACCTGCCACTCTCTGAATATGCTAGATCACTGCTCCCGCCATCCCCAGCCACTGGTCATACTGGTTGGAGAAGATAGGTATTTTAGCCCAATGTGGTTTGGACCCCAAGTAAAGAAGGCTGAGAACCTGTGAGTTTTATCGCTCTGGCAATGTGATGCATAGATGCTGCAGTGCTTACAGCAGATGAGAAAAAATTCTGCTCGTCTCTTCTAGGGGGCTAAGTAGCTACCTTCAGATCAAAACATCTGCAAAGGATCTTGGCTTGGGTACCCTGCATTAGGTCAGGTTAGGGACCTAACCTAACCTTTTCATATTTCCTAATAAGCACTGACACCAAACCAGAAGTGGACCATATTTCAGAATTTGATTGAGAAATACATGCACATGATTTCATGAAAACCATGCATAAACAGAGCAAAATAGCACCAACAGCAAATACTTTCAAAACAGACTTTCTAGTTCTGAGGCTTAAAATAAGCGACTCATAAACTCTCTGAAAGTGTATACATTTTCAAATGTATAACCTTAAACCCCTAGGTAGCCTGCCATTTGCTGTAAAGCACAATGAAATTGCAACCTAAATAAATAAAAAAATCAGTTAATATATATAAAAGTTAAAATATTGCTTGGAATGTAAGTAGGAAATTAAATCTTTAGCATTTATATCCAAAGGCCTGGTAGAATAGACTTTTCTGTTTGCTTTTTTTGGCAGATTTTCTAAAAACTGATGCAATGATTTAATGTGAGACCCAGTTGTGCATGGAGTTACAGGATGGTGTTCCTCAGTTTTTGTATTGAAAGCGTCTATAGGCTGTGCAATATTCACACAGTGTTAAAACAGGCACAGATTTCGGTGTACGGGAAGGTAGCACTAGGCAAATAGCCTGTGTACATTCTCCTAAGAAAGCAAGGTCATCTTTGACCCGCTGCCCAGAATTTGTAAGAACTGGAACAGACTGAGTCTCCTCTTAGATCCCTTTTAACTTGCAACATGTTTTCTTTCTGTTTGTTGCCAGGTTCTCCCACGGCAAACGTGTGGCTTGTTCACACATACCATCTTCTATAATGAATATCCTGGTGGTCCCAATGAACTGGATAAGATTATCAATGGAGGAGAACTTTTTCTGACTGTGCTACTTAACCCTGTGAGTACTATCTGAAGGAGGAATGAAAGGGCACCTTGCAAGAATACAAAACCTTTCCCTTGTTCTTTTTATTTTTGTAGCATGCAATTTTGGGATAAAATTCAAAATGCAGACAACAAAAGGAAGAATACCACACAACAAGACCAACAGCATCACTAGGACAAAAAAGAAACTCACTGATTTATAGTCTTTAGTGTATCATAGTGGCACTGAAGGGAGAGTTAGAGTGAAATGGGCCTGAGGAAAAATTTACTGCCTACCAACAGTTTGGAATTGTAAGTTACATGGCCAAATCATTGTAGCAGTATAGCCACAATGAAGGAGTTTAACTTTAGGACACAGGTGCCAACCTCTATTTTGTAGACCAAATCCAGCCCTGCAGGGTTCCCCAGAAAGCCATGCCCCATTTCCTCAGCTACCAATGGTTCAGTAGTTTTCTGGCCTTTGTGCGTTTTTCCTCATTCTAAAAGGTCAACACTCCTCTCCGAAGGCTTACCTACTGGCAGCACCATCTGTAAATTAAAGTATTCTGGTATTTGTGGTATTTTCAACCCTATTCACCGCCGGCATGTGGACCCCACGAACTTCTCTGAAATTGAAATCGACCTTCAGCTGAAGGAGGTTATACGCTCTTTCCTTTAGGAGTCACCTGCAATCTGAAGTAAATTTAAAAGGCTGCTTATGTGCATGAAATTTTCCTCTTGGATGTCTAGGAAGTGCATGTGATTAGCACCCTGAAGTAGTCAGGAATTCTACTAAACCAGGTATTCCTTCCAGTCTACCTAATTCCAGACTACCTACTACAAATGCCTCTGTTTCTTTTCCAGATTTCTAAGACTTTTGTCCTGATTGGCTCTTGCTTCCTTTGGATTTGTTCAGTCATCTCTTCCTTTTCTGCATTGTCAAGAGATAGGGATAGTCCCAGCATTAGGCTAGGTCATGTACCCATGCTCAGGGTCAGTGGATCTGTTTGCCTGCTCTGAGAGCCATAGATAAGTTGCAAATAAACTCTTGCAAGACCAAATTGGTCAGTAACGGGGGATCACTTTTATTTGAAAATAAGACATTGATTTGCTGAACAATTAATAAATATTACATTGCTGAATCACACCACAGATGTATACTTAGGCCTCTAGTGTGGCACAAGCTGTCTACTTTCTCTGCAGGCTTGTAGCATAATAGTAGAGTTTGGTTAAAAGACTTATCTATAAAGGTGGCAAGGAGAGTAAATAGTGTTTCAAGAGTAAATAGTGTTTTTTAATTGAGAAAACATATGGTGAAGTTATGAATGCTATAAGTTTTTCTGAAGTAAATAGGAGTTGGTAAAAAGGAATTCAACTGAACTGACTTGGAGTTGGCTGCAGTTGCAGAACAGATGAATGAAACGGTTTGTCACAAAATATGGTAACCACAAGCTTAGATAAGTTTAAAAGGGGATAGCTCCCATGTATGCTGTGCCTTTTCAGAAAGAAAGGATGCAAATTTTTTAAGCCTTAAATGGGATAGATAAGGGATGATAGCTAAAAATGGAATTTCTACAATTGGGGTAATGTTACCCCTGACTATTTGAAAACAAAACAGGGTAGCTTTTTTTCCATTGTACCTAGTTTTATAAATTTTCTATGTATATTTGGGTGTCTATTGACAATGGGTAGTGGGCCTTGATTCATGAAGGTATGTTGCTGTTTTTAGCTAGTTCACGGAAGATTATATAAATGTTTCAACCCCTCCCATATTTCCCCCACCCACCAGCAGTCAGTGCTATAGTGCATACTAGTTCAGTGTTTAATATTTGATTCTGGGACTTTGTTGCAATGTAATACTGCTTTGACTAACCTTACTGATTGATTGCCCTTTCTACTCTCCTGTCTTTTTTCCATCTCTTCTCACCTCTCTCCCAGATCAGTATCTTCATGACCCACCTCTCCAATTATGGAAATGACCGCCTTGGTTTGTACACCTTTAGACACCTAGTCCGCTTCCTCAACTCCTGGACTAACTTGAAGTTGCAAACATTGCCACCTGTCCAGCTGGCACAAAAGTATTTCCAGATATTCTCGGAAGAGAAAAACCCGCTATGGCAGGTATGTATTGGCTGCCTCCCTTGGCTTGCCTGCACAACTGCAGAAGTCCCCAAGTGAACCTGCACTGTCTTTTTCAATTTGGTTCTCACCCAGCACCAAGTACCTGTAGGTTGTGCATGCAGCATTCCTCACTCGGTGCAAGAGCAGTGAAAGTGTGTTAGAAGTCTGTGCGTATGATTTAGATGTTCTGCTGCTTTCCTTTCTCCCTAGTGGTTGCCCACACCTGTATGAGATTCATGTTGAATTTGGCCATCCATTGCTGTTGTGGATGTAAAAGTAAAGAGTGTGACAGTGTTTCTTGAGATGAGAAGGTGTTACATATCATTTGCCCCCTGGAGAAAGCAGAATACTGTATGAAAGATCGAAAAGTGTAGTTTTGTTCCACTTTAAAACAGGGAAGCCAAGACACTTTGAAGTAATGCTGGAGTGCAAAGTATGGAGCTGAGAAAATGGTGCCCTTTAGCTTTCAGCTGTAATGGTTTTTGAGGGTCTCTTCTGTTAGAACAGAGTCTGATTTGTGGCGTGAAAGCCCCACTTCCTATTTCTTTTTCCTGTATCCACTCCTTATTTAATCCTGGACACATGCTTGCATTTCAGGATCCCTGTGAGGACAAACGCCACAAGGACATTTGGTCCAAGGAGAAGACCTGTGACCGATTCCCCAAGCTGCTAATAATTGGTCCTCAGAAAACAGGTAAGCTCTAGCACCAGGGTAGTTTGAATTACAACTCCCATCAGTTCCAACATCATGTCCAGTGGTCATGGTCTATGGTAGTTCTGGTTCAAAGCATCAGGAGAGCAGCAAGTCGCTTCCTGCTACTCTAGGCTATAGAAAGGGGCTACTCTCAGAATAAGGGAGAATTGGCTTCGCTGTGCAAGAGAGACATGATTTACCTTGAGCCATTAAGCAGCTACTTTAAAGTGCAACCACTCATAAACAATAAGTGATGGTTTATGGTAGTTCTGGTTCAAAGCATCAGGAGGGCAGCAAGTCGCTTCCTGCTACTCTAGGCTATAGAAAGGGGCTACTCTTAGAATAAGGGAGACGTTACAAGCTGAAATGAAGAAACTATAAGCATCCCTGCTAGCCCTAGTTTATTATACACATACTTTAAAAAGTAAAATGTATTGGGCACTCAGAGTTAGAGAGGCAGTCATAAAAAGCAGACAGAAATAAGAAGTGCAAGTTAAAGGACCAGACTTTGTGAATACATTCATATTTTACCTGTGAAATGTTCGCTCTCGAAGGAGGCCCATTTGCACCAAGAAGGGTGAATTACTATAAACAAAGAATGAAGTCTGGAGGTAATTCTGTGTGATTGGGATGCAGATGTAAGAAGAAATGGCTGGCCTAAAGCACCCATCAGGAGGACTGAAAATGCTAAATCTACTTTGAGATCCAAGAAAGTCACAGAAGGTGGAATATAGAACTGTGGTAGAAGCTTAGCAAGTGAGAGAGGAAAGTTAGTTTTCAGCACTGTTCTATTTTATCTTCCATATCAAGGTACCACAGCCCTCTATCTGTTCCTGGGGATGCACCCAGACCTCAGCAGTAACTACCCCAGCTCAGAGACTTTTGAGGAGATTCAGTTCTTCAATGGACATAATTACCACAAGGGCATTGACTGGTAGGCTTCAGTTTGCATCAGCCCTGGGCTGGGAGGGTGAAGAGCTTCCTTTGAGTTTCACCACATGGCACTAAAACAACACTAATATGGAATCAAAAGTCACATTGCAACTGGATCAGCCTTTCTCGGTCTGCTTGGCCAAAGGTTTCTACAAATATATCAGATGTCTAGCAAGCAAGGAAGAAATGCACGATTTTGTTTTTATTGTGGGAGTACTAATATGCTAAGGCTGTCTGTGTCTAAGAATGCAGAATATCCCAAAAGCTCAGGAATGCAGAAGTTGGATATAAATGTTCTTCGTCGTGGTCTCTTCTGGTCCCAGCACTTAAAGCAAGCAGCTGTGATACTACCTTATAAACATGTGATAATTTTTTTGCGCTACATTGTGAGCAAACAAACAGAAACGTATATTGCATCTAATGTATATTGCAACCCTCTTGCACATGATGTATATTGCAACCCCCTTGCACACCTACGCAGTCAGTTACCTTGCTGCATTTCTAAGAAGATGGTCTGTAATTGATTCCCCTACCCTTGTTCTCAATGTTTAAAGATGCTGCTGATTATGGTTAGTCTTCCCTATAAATGCAAGAAATTGCAGCCTGATAATCTGTTGATCCAAAAGAGTACTATTTCAATTGAGCAATAATATTTTACATATTGTCAGAATAGATTATCTTCATGTACCTGTGCAGGTTTTGTTACTTCGGTTGTGCTGGGCTATTTCTGAATTGGGATGTCTGGGTCCATAACCTATTAAACTCACATATTTATAAAGGATTTGGCATTAGGGAAGGAGCTGAAACAATCTTTATATTGCTTTCACCCAATGCCATCTGTCTTTCATTTTCTGCCACTGGCTTTTCTGAAGGTATATGGAGTTCTTCCCCATCCCTTCCAACACCACTTCTGACTTCTATTTTGAGAAGAGTGCCAATTACTTTGACTCAGAAGTAGCACCAAGGCGGGCAGCTGCACTGCTTTCCAAGGCTAAAATAATCACCATCCTCATTAACCCAGCAGATCGAGCCTACTCTTGGTACCAGGTATGCCGTTCCTTGTTTTATCCTTATGCATTCTGTTCAGGGCAGAAGTAGTGGTGGTCGTGTCCCCCCGCTTTTAATGCATTGCCTTAAAGGTGCTGGCAGTACATTACAAAAATGTTCTTTGCGTACAAAGACTGTCTTTATCTGTCTGTGACTTCGTTCTACTGCTTGCTGGGCATTTGTCCAGTTGTTTCATTCATAACAGTATTTTAAGCCTACAGCATAAATTTTCCAGTGGCAATTTTAATTGAACATTCATTTCAATGTGATACCTTGTTGGCCGCACATGTGTTGCCTTTAAAGAGGTGGCTAAAGCAGAGACATTTCTGCATTCTTCACGGAATTTTGCATTTTCAGGGTAGCTCACATAGTTTTATGTTACAAGTACATAGGTAGGCCTGGATGCTGTTGTTGCAGCTTGTGTCCATGCACACTGTAAAGAAATTACAAAGGTTAAGAAATTATGGTAAATGCACTTACGATACAGATTTCCTTGTACTCTTCAGCCACTTCACTTTAGAGGCGACTTTGAATCAGGGATATCTTTCGCAGTTCCCGGGCTTTGTGGAGTGGGGGGAACCAAGAGGTTCTTCTCTCTTAAGTAGGGTGCTGTCAGGGCCTTGGGTAGCCCTTGGCTTAGTTTCAAAAGCCCCCTGCATGTGATCAGACTTCTAGCAAGAGTGATCTCTTCTCCCCCAGTAGCCTCCTACATGGGAATGAAAATGGGGAGAGAGAAAGCAAGCCAGCAGAAGGAGAAGGAGAAGGGAGTGACCCAGCCCCTTCCAGTTCTGACCCGACTTACCGCTGGCTTCAGCTCTTCTCCCTGCTGACTTGCTGCCCCCAACAGATTACCCACAAGGGGATGTAGTGGAGCAGAGGTGTTCACATAAATTCACAGCCCAGTAGCACTTCCTAGAAAGTCATGTGATCGCAGGTCATCAGGAAGATGCTGCAGGGGTATAATCCTTTTTGTAAGAAGCCCATGCCACTGCAAGCAGGCATGGAAATTTTCCAAATGTTTAGAAATCCCAGCATGCACGTGTGGACCCTGTTCATCTGCAGGAATGTTCTGAAACAGGTGCTCCTTCCCCTGCGTTGAGGATTTGTATTTGTTGACCACGTGTGACTGGCCTGTTATGAAATACTCTAACTGAAATGAGGCACTTATCCTACAGCCTCTGTGGTTCTTTCTCCTCTCCTCTTCCGCCCAGCTCCAAGTAACACTCTCTAACATGCTTTTTCTTTCCACAGCATCAGCGAGCACATGACGACCCAGTTGCCCTGAAGTACACCTTTCATGAGGTGATTACAGCCGGGCCTGAGGCCTCTCAGAAGCTCCGAACATTACAGAACCGTTGCCTAGTACCGGGCTGGTATGCGACCCACGTTGAACGCTGGTTGAATAATTTCCATGCCAACCAGGTAAGCAGGGCTGGGATGATCCGCATCATCCTTTCAAAAATCAAGCAGCAGAGGATGTGCCTGCATTTTCATGGGATTTATTGAAAATATTTCTTGGCCACCTTTCAGACAAACCTTCTCGAGGAGGCATACAGTAACAAGTATGGTCTGTCAAAGCAGCAAAAACACAGTAAAAGCAGTAAATGCACAATAAAAGGCAGAGTGAAAGGAAATGGTTTTGCTGGCATCTGTGACATCCGCAGGCTGCTAGGACTGATTTCTTTCTTTCTCAGAGTTTTGGTGGAAGCCACCTTTCTGGTTGTATCCATATTGTCATGATAAAGTCTCTGCGTGAACTGGAGGGAATACGGGGCTCCATCCCACATCAGCACTGCTGATCTCTGAGGTTAACAGGCAGTGGGGGAGGGCTGGTTCTTCCTTTTGCATTCAAAGAGTGAGAGAGCCCCTTCTGTGCTGATCTAGCACACGACACTTGGCTTGGCGTGTACTGCAATAAAAGTGGAGGAAGAGTCTTGGAAATTCCAAGAGCCTTTCTGGATGTTGTCCCCATGGAAAAGGAAGCATCCATGTAATAATCCCCTCAGCTCTTCCAGAAACTTGTTTCAGGCCATAAAATAGGAAAGTATCTCTGGCTCAGTATGCTAAGCACTGAAAACCAGACTATTGCTATTTCGCTGCTGACTAGGATTTTGTACACTTGTGTGTAAGTTGGCATCTTCTTGATAATGTATATGGATGCACAAGCATGCTCCTCTTGAGTAGGGGCAAGATTTTTCAGGCTCTGCAAAGGCATCATTGTAGTTTCATGTGGAGGATGGATGTGACTATCAAATCAAGACTTGTTCACTGCAGCATCCTATACACAGTTGCAACTGATTCTCACTGGACTCTGTGCGGGTTACTTCTGTATAAACATTTAGGATTAGGCTATAAGCCTTTTAGAAGAGTCGCAGGCAATGGGGTGCCTTTGGTATCTTACTAGGTGTTTCCCATCTTGTAATGAATTTATTTTCTTGCTCTGAAAACTGTGGTTCCAAAGAGGTTGTTTGGTGGGTTGGGGCTCGGACCCCATGCCTGCCATGTAAAAAGTCCTTTGGGTAGGTGACTTGGCCTTTGCCGTGCTTCTCATAGCAGCCCTGTTGTGGTGGTGCCCATGATAATTCTCAATTTGCCAGATGTGCCTGCAGCCCAAACAGGCATCCTGTTTTAGAGTGAAGCCACAGGCAGGAAGTAAACAGTTGTTCTGAGTGTGTTAGAGTGTTAACCACAGCATGATTCTTCTCCCAAACTCCCAAATACTTACTGCTGCATACCAGTAGCTATACTGCTTTTGAAATGTATTATTTCAGACTGGTACCTAGAGGTAAGTAGCTTCTGCTCTGTGATCTTTTGAAAAATGAGGCCTAGCCTGCTATTAAAGAGTTCAGTGTATTAAGAGGTCAAGCATGTTCTTAGTGCAGTACCACAGAGTTGGTGTATAGTTTGTGCAAAATTTAAAGTAAGTACTCTGTATATGTCTACACCTTCCCAGACCTGTGTCCTTAGGAAGGGATATAATAGCAATTCAGTGCAGTGACACGCAAAGTCCTATCCTGCTCAAACAAAGAAAGGAGGAGCAAGGTCACTTCTCTGCTCCTTTGCAGTGCTGTGAAGAGGAGACCAATCACGCCTGGCTGCCCCAAGTGTTCTGCATTTGTGGCTGGGTTTGAGCATGTTTTGAATCAAAGTAAGAAACTCAAATTTTGTCTTTTCAGATTCTCGTTCTGGATGGCAAGCTGCTACGCACAGAACCAGCCAAAGTGATGGAAACAGTCCAGAAATTTCTTGGTGTGACAAATGTCATAGATTACCACAAAACTTTAGCGTGAGTTTCTCTCATCAAGGACTTTACATACTCCTTGCATGTACTTATGATGCCAGTTCTGTTGATGGGATGCATCATTGCATAGATTTTTCTCTGGTCACTGAGAAGCTGATTTTAAAGTGTAACTTAGGAGAACTGCAGTGGTGAGCCTTCCTCCATTTTACAGGTATAAAGACAGCCCTGAAGGTCTGCCAACATGCCTAGCCAAGAAACGTGGCAGTGTGCAGTGGTTAGGGTTCGGGCATTCATTCTACCTTTGTTACAGTAGTAGTAAGAATAATAATCTGCAGAACCTTATTTAGTCCTAAACTGGGCATTCTCTGTGGCAATTGCACAATTACATTGTGCACTTCCTGTGCCGCACAAATGTCTGGGTACTGGATGGTGGGTTGTTTTCTTTCCATGGCTTGATACATGGATGGAATAATGGTCCCACAGTCTTCCCCACTCCTTGAAAAGCCACTTCAGAGGATCAAACTTGGGATTAAAATAGCAGGGATTGGTAGGCATTCCACACTCACTGTTAGTCTACTCAAAAGCACACTCCTAAGCAGTTCCAGCAAGTGGTACTTACAATGCATGGAACACATTTGAACTCCTGCTGAAGAAAAAGAGGCTGGTCCAGTGGTGATTTAGAGTGGAGAAGCAGTGGGTGGGAATCAGGTTAAGCACCTTCTCCCACCAGTTCTCCATTCCTAATTACCTTGTCCTGAAGTTACTTATTCTGACCCCTTTTAAGGGCTGCTGAGCAACTGTTCAGTGTGCATGCTTTTAATTTGTATTTTGGCCCTTAAAGTCTGTTCAGCCTTACTTTCTTCTGAATAAAGCAGTATGTAGTTGGTATCTCTTGAGGACCATCCTTCACTGCATTTGAACTTCAAATTAAACATGTTTCTTTCTTTAAAAATACCATATAAGTATAACAATTACTTTGTATTGTCCAATACATATCAATGTCACTGTGAGAAATAAATTAAAACTCCTTTGTAAATCAAGTGCTATCAAATGCTTTGAAAATACTTGAACTAGAATTAGGAATATATCATTTTATAAAAGCAGATGGTATTGTGTGTGTGTCACTTTGGAGAGGAAATATTTCTAAATTAAGAACAAGCATTGTAAGCCTTGTGACAGGCTTTTAAGTCCTCTACCCGGCACTTAAAACAAAAACCCAATAACCCTGATGCTGCTAAATTAGTAGACATTTAAAGTCAAAGCTTCATGCATGGAAATTTCTGTCTCCTCTAACACCATTGTGACCTTCTTTGTGTTGGAACTGTGAGGAACAGACAGATATCACTTGGTCAAAAGTGGAATAGATTCACATAATCTATTGCTTAAATGGAGCTTGTCTTGGTGTGACAGATGATTTCTGTATTGTACAGAATGTATTTGGCACATTAGTAAAAACAGCTAAGTCATTCCAAGTTGCAAAGCAAGAGGATAAGAGCAGTTTGCTTATTATTGTTCACTCATCCTGTCATCTGTTGTAGGTTTGATCCCAAAAAAGGATTCTGGTGCCAACTACTGGAAGGAGGGAAAACCAAGTGCTTGGGGAAGAGCAAAGGCCGGAAATACCCAGAGATGGATTTAGATGTAAGCATTTCAGCCTTTGAATCCGTGAGAACTTTTCTCTCTTGGACTTTTTGGAGATGTTGGCATGATTGACGGTGCAACGGCTGAATTTGGCTTATCTTCAGAGTTCTGCAAAACAGAGGCCCCATTCGCATCTGCCGCTAGACTTGTGGAAGCCACTTTCTTGTGGTAAAATGCAATTCTGCTTCACCAGTCCTCTCAGTATGAGACATGTAAGCAGAACTAGCTGCGTGGATCTTTCCATCTGATCCGCACTCTCAACCTTCTAGTCCACGGGTCCTTAAACTTTTTGAATAGGGGGCCAGTTGAAAGGTCCCAGCGGTGGGTGCAAGGCGGTGTGGGCGGGGGGGGGCATGCAGAAAGGCAGGGGCATGCCTGCACAGAGATCATTTTCTCCCAACAAGTCCAAAACAAACTTCCTGCAAGCAAACCGGTGCCTCAAGGCCAGCTTGCTCGCAAGGAGATCCTTCTCTCCGAGTGAGTCCAAAACAATCTCCTTGTGAGCAAGCCGGCACCTTGCCACACGCATGCACGTGGCGAGCTATGGAGGGCTGGATCCAGCCCGCAGGCCGTAGTTTGAGGACCCATGTTCTATTATTATTATTATTATTATTATTATTATTATTATTATTATTAATGCAGAGATGGACACCTTTTGGGGGTCCAGTGGCCAATTTTACTCCCTACACAAATGCATGGAGGACCACACCCGAGCACCGATTGCTGAGTTCCCCGCTGAAATTTGGTATTGTGTCGGCGAGTCCAGGGGAAACATGGTGGTTCGCCACCACAATTCAGTGGTGCATTGGCAGCAAGTGCACTGTTGCATGTTGGTGGCAAACCGCCAGATTATTTTATTTCGCCACCTCTGTATCACAGGACAATGGGAGCGCAAACAGAAGTGCAAGGGGGTGTCTGCAGTTGTGTTGTTCATTCTTGATTTAATGCATTTTTAGTAACCTTCCAAAACAGGAAGGAGTCTTCTGAAGGTGGCTTACAATGTACCATGTTCAATCGATACCAGTACAACCACTTCATAAAATCGTACATCAGTTTTTGAACAGGTAAAATTGGTCAAATTAAAAAGATTAAACAACTAAAGCATGATATATAATTAAACAGCTTTCATTTAAAAGCCAAAGGAAAAGAAATACCCTTTTTAAACACTTAAAAGCCACAGGTGGAACCAGCTGTGCATGTCTCAGAAGGCAGTTCCACAGGGCATAGGCCTTCCTCTAGTGGCCGCCAACCTTATGTCTCTTCATGGTGGGCCAGCAATTAGGACTTGGAACAATGATCTAACAATCAGGCAAATTCTAGAGATGTAGGAGGTGCTTCAGATAACTGGACCCTTTACGGTTTTGCATGGGGCCTGGCACCCACTGGCCGCAGTGCAGCAGTATAGAGTTGCTGTAACAAGAGCCACTTGTCTAGCCCCCACAAAGGAATCGAGTCACTGGGTACCGTGGCAGCTGGAATTTCCAGGTTGCCTTCAAAAGTAGCTGCACACAGAACCCATCACAGTAGCCCAGGATGTAACTAATATGTACATATCGGAGATAAGCTCCAGTTACCCAGATAAGATCGCAGCTATGTAGCAACTGAAGATGATAAAAGGTGCTCCCCTTACTGGATATGACTGGCTCTGCTCTTGAGTTTCCCAGTTGTGGGAGTCCTTCCCGGATGGACAGTCAGGTGGTGAATATGCATATGATTAGCGCTGCCCCCTGTGATTCCCGCACGTAGTTGTTTACGTAGCAGTGTGCAGTCTCACTGTGGGGAAGCAGCTCCCATGTTGCGAGGCCAGAACTGGAGTACTTGCGTGCAGCTGCATCAACATAACCTCCCATTCTTTCCTCCGACTGATTATTCTTTAGGACGTGACTCCTTTAGGGCTATTTAAGGCTGATTACATTTTCAGGATTACTCTGAAAAGGGTCGATAGTATTACAGGAAGCTGTAATTGGCCACTAGTTTCTGAGGAGCGCATGAGATCGTAAGTTTAGGCTGACCTGTGTGTAATGTGCAAAGTGGCTCTTAAACTAGGCATGTTGGGTAAAATCATGCAGGGTGCTTGCAGATGCAGACAGCCCTTCTTGATTTCTGCAAGCAGACACTGAGCAGAAAGCACTGCCTTCCCGAGCTTGTTGCCCAGCCAGGATCGGCGCCCGTGTAGATTCTGCTTGGAATCCCGGCCAGTCCGCTAGCCCCAGGTCCAGCACTGAGCCTGGTTCCTGCCCTTGTGGGGCAGCGGGCTCTGTGCTGGCAACACCTGCAAGGCCAGCCCAGGGTTGTTTCCTCCTCCCATTTATCTACCTATTTACTAGATTTATATCCCACCTTTCTCCTTTCTTTTAAAAAACTCAGAGCAGCTCACAATGCTCCTCTGGAGGTTCCAGAGGGCATTGGTCGTGTCAGACACTGCAGTGTCTTATGCCTCCTGGAATGTTTTGCTCCATCACCCATCCTATCCAAGGAATGGGCATTTCTCTGTTGAGGATAATGGGAATTGTAGTTCAGCCTGCATAATCCCAGGAGGAGGTGACACTGCGGCATCAATACAATGTTTTCTGGAACTTGGAGAGAAGTGGCAGGTGTGGGGTGGCCCATGCCAAGAAGTGGCCATCCCTGGAATCTGCTACTGTATCCTAGCTCCCAGGGAGACTAGTATGGACTGGCAGGTTGTTGCAGGGGAATTAAGCTCCCTTGAGTGGCCTGGTTGAGCATTAATGCACTGCCTTTCATGGGGTTTCTATTTTGAGAGCTGCTTTATTTTCAAGTGTGGAGCCTGCTGCTCTGCCTTAGGCTCTGTTCCGTTTCTCGCAGCATGTCCATTGAATATGGCACTTGTAAAAGTAGCATTTCTTTGCTTTTTACTTTCTTTTTCCTCCTGCAGTCAAGAGCGTTCCTGAGGGACTATTACAGAGACCACAACATAGAGCTCTCCAAGCTGCTGTACAAAATGGGCCAGACGTTGCCAACATGGCTGCGGGAGGAACTCCAGAACACTAGATAGCCACTTTTATCTCCTGTATTGAGCAATAGTAGAAAGAGTCCGTGGGGAGGATCCCAAACCTGTACGCCGGGCCGAAATGACATAATGGGTGTGCGGTACACAACCAGGGAAGAAGCATTTAGAGCAATATCTATTTGAGGTCTCCAGGGGAGGGTGGGGGGAATGCAGAAAGGACCCATGCAGTGTGCATTGCAGCTTGGAAGCCACCTGAGACCTACTGGAATCGATGATTAGCTACACCCCGTGGGCAAGCCAGCATGACGCAGACCTTCCAGGTGGCCCGGGAACCCGCTTCACTGCTCGTGGTGAGGCTGCCTCCTAGCTTGTAACCCTGCTTCCTGATAAAGAGGATCCACAAAAGATCAGCTCTTTCTTCACCCGTCAGTCGCAGCAGCTGAAATAGTATTACAGCAAGCAGATTCCTTCCCATCAGGTGATTAGGAAAAAAGGGAATGGAGGACTCACTGGGGGTTGCTTAGTAATAGTTCCTGCATCATGCGAGTTTGGAAGACGATGTGGGTGGTATGAACTCAGAGCCAGATGGGGGCCCAGCTGCAAGCCTTGGACCTAAATATGCAATTTGTGCTCAGACCCACACTGGACTCAGATGATGTTGTGGAGTAGAATTCTTAGCTAAGAGATGTTTTGTTTTTATACAAGGTGACTTTGAAAGACTTTGGTGCTGGCAATATTTAGATTATCCCAGATGGATTATTTTTCCCCCATCTTATTTGGGGACATCCTGGGGAAGGGGTGGGAGGAATCAGAGTGGGGAACACATACTCATCCAACACCATGCCTGGCAGGAGAGCTGTTCCAGAAGGTTATCAATATCACTTCATTCACCTCGTTTGCAGTCACATTTTTATAACATACCAGAGGTGGTTCCTGTGATGCAAGACTGAAGCCATTCAGTATCCTAGTTCCTTCTAGCACACATGACCTGCCAGCTCTAAGCAACAGGAAGGTATTCCAGCAAGATAGACAGGCCTTGGGATCATGGCTGCCCAGGAGATTACATAAGGACTTTGAGCCTCTTGAGCATGAAGAGGACAGTATTTTTACTTTTTGTGCATCGCTTGGATGCTGCACTTCGCATTTTGGATCACAGTTTTTTATTTTGTCCAATTTGCCATGAAAAGGAAGTTGGCCTGTGGATTTGGCTGCTCTGCCATCGTGGCATCTGTCTATTAGAAGAATTTGGGCCCGCTTCAATAGATTGCTCTCCTCCAGGGTTTCCTTTTGGAGTGGTGATCAAGAAACTTGGTTCAGCCGAGCCCACGTCGTTTGCTGGGTGTGTGTATCTAATGAAATGGTATCATCACTGTGAGAGACTCACACATGTACATGCAGTTGACTATTAGTTTGTGTTTCTTTGGAGACAAGTTAAACAGGATCGCAACTAAGCCACATTTGTCTTAATCAGTCTTAAAGCACTTGTTGGATAGGTTCATAGAGAAGGCATGTTCGTCTGGAGCTGGGAAGCCTGAGGTTCTGTTGGGAGTTGAATGCATTCAAACATATACCGCACGCTCACCCTCAGTGGTGGCAGTAAGGCATGAAAGCAGAGGTAGGCAACTTTTTCGGGCCTGTGGGCACATTTGGCAATTTCAGAACTTACCCTGGGCACCACGACAAAATGGCTGCCATGGGCTCCCTCCATCAGCTTTTCCTCAGTATGTCTCTGAGCCCTTCCATGCAGCCCAGAGCCATTAACTGGAAATGAAGGTGGCAGAGGCTGGAGGTCTTCAGTTTCCTATGAAACAGTCTCTGGCACTGGTAAGGAAATATGTTAATTAAACAAAAAACAAATGACAACTGGTACAGCGCTACTGAGGACTTCAAGAAAGGGGTTCAGGTAAGCACCAATGTCCAAGGGCAACACAGTGACTGTCCCTGACTTAGAGGATGTCAGGCACTTGCTTAAATCTAGACTTGAATAAATCCAATCACACAAATACTGATAGGTAAAGCTAATGGAAGGCATTAGTAGAATTTAAAGAATCAAGTGTACAGGACCTATTTCTGGCCCTTGGGGACTTGGATGGGCACTGGTGGCTATCCCATCATATTACCATTCATTTATGTGTTTTTTCTGAAATAATCTAGCTGCACATGGCTGGAAACAGTATGTAGGGCTAGGCAGATCCAGCAGGGATCCTTTTCTTATATGGGTGTCCTTCATGCTAGCATGTTAGTGGGAATACTTCTCTCTGTGGGCATAGGGTGAAGTGGCAGAAGTGAGAGAGGTTTCTTAATCCCTTTCTCCTGCCTGCAAGTGATTGCTTTTGAAATAAGGCCTGAAAGAACCACCCAAGCCAGGTTCACTCCCCTGAGAGAGAAAGATGTTTTGGCAGAATTATTCTTAGTGCATTGCCACTGAATTGCAAGGATGCATCTTGTGCCATCAGATGCATCCCCGCTGCACTGACAGAGATGGGAGAACCAGGGATGCTGGTTCCTAAACTCTGTCAAAGCTCAGTTCAGCTTGCTTCCTTTCTCATCGTCATCCTGTTTTCCCCAGTTAGGTTGACTGGAAAAAGTACATACCTTTAATGGGAAAAGTGTGCATCTTTCAAAGTTTGCATTCCTCCCCTGGCCACATGGACCAAAATGTGAAAATGCGATTTTTAAATGTGCATTTTTGAACATGAATGCAAGTACATGAATGTGCAAACATTTTGTGAGAACATGCAGTCCACATTCAGGGTTGCAAAGGGGGTATTTTCAGATGATTTTGCCCCTGAAATGAGATTCTCCTGTATCCCTGCTCAAACATACACTTCCCTCTGACATTGTGACTGAGCACCACCTAGAGGATCATTCAACAAATGCTGTGGCCATTTGTTTCTATCCTTTATCCAGTCAGTTTATTTAAACAGCTAACAAGAATATATGGCTGGGGTAGGAGCAATGTAGAGCATTGAATTGGAGGCTCGTGGAAGGCTATTCATTTTGAGATCATTTTGAGTGCATGCACGTACACAAGGTTGTGTTGACGGGCTTCTGCCCCAAGAGGCTTTTAGTAGAGAAAAGCAAACTGCTGGCAGTGAAGGAGCCTTTCTTCCTAGCCACTTTCCCTTCCAGATAAGAATGATGTAGCAGATGCTACAAAGAGCAGTTCTTTACATCTGGCATATGCTGGGGTGGGCAGGAGATAGATCAGGATCTATTGATAAATCACTGGGTATTTGCAGGAGATGAGCTATTTTTTCTGACTCCCAGAAAACTCTGGCTGATTTGCTACCAATCCCACAGAGACCTTTTGAATGTTGACAACTACAGTTGGTGTAACTCAAAGCCCTGGTCAGTGAAGCAGTATTGCCTGGTGATAGAATTAATGAAAGTGTCAGACCCAGAATGCGGCAACAGTATTTCTCCCAGTGGTTTTATTGTGAAATAAGGCACAAGGTCAGCAAGGGCAATACCTTCCCCTTTAAATGCTTTTCTGATGGAGAAAGGCAAATCTGTAAAGCAGGAGAAGCAAGAAAGATGCCAACAGCCACACAGGCAGTGAAAGGTCTGCTTACTATATAAGTTGCACAGCAAAGAGATGCTGTGCTCCCCTTGGTTTTATTGTAAGACCATCCCGAGACTTTGCTAGTGGATGGTATATAAAAGTTTTAAATAAATAAAAAAAATGTGAGTGCTCATGTTGAGAAGGTCCAGTTGGGCGAGAGTGGGAAGGCTTCTTCCCTTGTCTAGCAAAAGATGGCACTGGCTGCTGTAACTTGGGTGCTCTTAAGGAGATCACACACTCCCACTCCAGAAGTTCTGGCTTCAGTTTAGGGCAAGGAATAGTTTCAGCATAACAACTGCAAAATAATATCCTTCTTTCAGAGCTGGGATGTCCTGTAGAGCTTAAGAGGAGGCGGCCCTGCAGACTTGGGTCCCATTCCTGCTCCCAACACCTTTGTCTGCTATTATTTTTCTTCCCTAGTGTCCTAATGGTCAAGCCACAGGTTTAGGCATTAAATAACATGAAAATTGTGGCCTCATTTATTCATATGAAGGATACACACGAGGACCCTCAGGAGAGACTTCAGGAAATTGTTTTAACGGTAAGCTGCAGAGGGCACGGTAGCTGCTGCTCGGAAGTTCATTCTCATTATGAGTTTTGTGATTATCTTTGTGCACAGCTGTCTGTATCATTTAAAATAACAAAACAGTGTAGATGTTTTATAAATAAATCTGAAGGTAGCTATCTACAGTGTGTGGCATCATATTGCCAAAGCAACAATTGCAAAAAGATCTCACCTTATACATGCCGATTGTTTGAAAGTATTAATTTGTATTTCTCCCAAAATGCTGGTGTAATTTAGCCCGCACTGTATGAGGCAAATTCTGCCTTCCAGTTGGTTAGCCAGGATCACAAGGCAGCACTTGCCCTGGCTGAGCAAACCTCACAGAGAACGTGTCAATATCTGCATTTTAAGAAGCTCGAGTTTTGTTTCATTTTGTTTGTGGAGTTCCCCTGCCCCGTGTTACTTTCCTTCACCCCTCCCCCGTTTTTGTTCTTGGCGAAAGGAGGAGACCTTTGAGGATTCCCACTGTTTATGTTTGCATGAAATTCTGTATGGTTCCCCATTGGGAAGGGAGTATTTTCATGGTGGGAGGGAGGAAAGGGGAAGGAATACTTTTAAGAGTCTTTCTCCCATATTTTTAATCTGTACTTGAACTCATTTTGGGTTCAGAAGAAAAAGTGTCACTAATGTAAGGTCCTGTTGAACTAACTGCTAATAAAATGGGGTTGTCTGTTTTTAGATCTTTGTGTGGCCTATTTCTGTGTTTGTGCTGTCCCTCCCTTTCCACCTTCTTGAATTTGAAAAAGAAAACACCGTCTTTCTTCGCTTTTAAGGAGCTCTGGTCATGTTAGAGAATGCGAAAGCTTCCAGCTTCTGTTACAGGTGAAGCTTTAATGCAAGGCTGATACGCTTCTGGCTGAAGAGTATATTGCCAAAGAGAGGTTTTGGACTGTTCTGAGTTGGACTGAAAGGATATCAAATCTTGCCTGTGTTCTGTTTCAGTTCCCAAATGCAGTTCTTCACAGTCCCTGAGCATCTCATTCATGGGCTCTGCATTCAGGTATCTTGCCCTGCTATCAATCAACTTCAGTGATGCACATGCTCATGTTGCTGATAATCCAGTCAAGAGCCAGAATGGGGAACATGTTGGCTACCAAGTGAAGATGAACCACTGTGCCCACAATTTCACACCCGTGGCTGTGCAGACTGGGGCTGATGGAAGGGCCAGAAGTTCCCAGTAGAGGAACAAGCATGATCATTTTAGTGTACTTCACTGGCTTGGTACAGCCTCAGCTTCCCAGCCCAGTCATGCTTTGTGGGAACCCTGTGATTTTAATATGATCATTATATAGCAACCACTAAAAGCAACGGTGATAATAATTGAATAATTACCAACAATGGAATACTGATTGAAAAAACAAAAGTTTAAAAAGATTGTTGTTTTAGTTTCATTCCAACCTTGGACTCTGTAGTTGGTTTTCATCTGGGAATTTGAACACTCTGACCTCTTGATTCACTTGCAAATGCTTTTGAAGTTATTAAAAAACAGAAAGTAACTAGAATCGTAATTAGAAAGGCTGATGTTGTGATAACTGTTAATGAAGGCATTCCTCCAGAAGGTGGCAGCATCAGCTTCTTGAAAACTAAACGAAACTGCCAGCAAAATAAGGCCTGTCAAATAGCAGTTCTTGTGATCCTGGATAAGATGCTAATATGGAGTGAAACTGCATCGGTGTAGCCCTCCACTTGTGTGAAGGGGTTCCTACAGGTTTGCACCCATTTTGATTATACCATTGCAACAACCCTTGAGTTAGTCTGGGGGAAATTTCCACAAGAAGTAGCAGTACACTTTCCTTCTCTGACCATGTTCTGCAATTCATACAATTGCATCTCAGCCAGCATTTCTACAACTGCTTGCAGGTGCAAATACACACTTTATATCAGCTGCATTTAATCCTGAGCTGACCCTGCCATCTTGTGGGTGTGCTTCACATAACTAAATTGGTTACTTACGAACACAGCAACCATCCCATTTATCCCATCGTGGATGAAGAATGTGCATGACTAGGAAGGAGACTGAGGCCTTAGAAGTAAAGCCTTCCCTGCCCTGTTTCCACCCCCTGGCTTAAGATAGCCAGAAAACACAGGTGAGAGCATATTGTTGCCAAGCACAACCAATGCAAGGCCTTTCTAATGCTTTTTGAGCAGACAGGTAGCTAGTGCCAAAATCCAGAAGGGGCCTGGAATGACAATGAGAGCAGCTTCTCTCTAATGGAGGGGCGATGTCATTGCTACCATCCAGATGCTCGCAGTCATGGAAGCACACTGGTGGAATTGGGCCAGTTGCTAACTCGGGCTAGCCTACCTCACAGGGTTGTTGTGAGGATCAAATGGTGTTAAGCTGGAGAAATATTTAAGGGCTTAAATTCTTAGCAAAAGGAAATAAGGAGGAACATAAATATAATCAATGCTTCTGATTCTGTATTTCCTCTTAGCTACAGGAACCCCAGCTAAATGCTCTCTGACCTTCAGTCTCTGCTTGTACCATTTTTACTGTGCTAGTTAGCAGCCATGTAGGCAGATTTTCTAATAACCACTTTCCTCTTGTAGTTTCTTAACAGGTTCCCACTACTACCGCCAACACCACAGAGGGTTTTCTTCACATCACATAGGGGAAATTCAGAATCTTGTTGCCAAGGGCTCCACAAAGCACCGTGTTCATTAGCTGAAACGATGTTCATCTTTGCATGGCTTGGGAAAAAGCTCACTGTCAGGAGTTCAGGTTTAGAAGTTGCTTACTGCTTCGCTATTTCCATATTCCCCACCACAGGGACTCTTAATCCAAGAGTTTTGTGTATGGGCCAACAGCTGGAGCAAGGATAGTGCAGATGGAGATGTAATACAATGTTTATTTGAAGGAGATTTGGCTGGCAGAATCGGGCACACAGCATCCAAACTGCTGCACCTTTGGCAAGCATGTTTCAGAAGCTTGTTAAAAAGATTCTTAAAAAATCCTCTGCTGAATGTCTGTCGCCAACACTTTCACTGATTTTTCTTGAATATGAGATGGCTCTTGCAACTATTCGTTGGTACAAGTTCAGTCTTCAGAACGATAGCATAACTGATGCTCCCCAGTGAGAAAACACACACACACAAGCACTCCCACAGCCTTTGCACACAGCAAACTTCATAAATGGTGTACGGCAACCAATTGATTGAAAAGCAGGAAAGCATTAGCACTGGACATGAGGAACAGATAAGATCACTCTCCACATAGATTTCACCACGAGGTGTTTTGCTATGGTAGCCTTCGCCTACCTGGTGCCCTCCACAACTCCCAGTCTCCCCCAGCCAGCCCTGGAAAAGGCTGCAGTACAGTCTGATGCTTACATCCTGATTTTCCTCCCTTCTCTTTTTAGTTCAGTCTTACATTTCTAATTCAGTACTTGGGAAGGATATGCTTCCTATGACCTGTTCCCTGCAGAGGGAACAGAATGTTTTCCTCTCCAATGACAAAAGACGGTAAGTTGTCAGACCAGCTTATGTTGGCTTGAACACATGCAAGCGTCATGCAGAAATGCCTCCGCACTGCACAGTTTGCTAATCAGAAGAAGGCAGAGTTAAAAAGACCATTGATACCTGCTCGGTATTCTCTGGGGCCAGTTTAAAAGCACATGCGAAGAAATCTGGGCCTCCTACAGCAATTCTTTTGCCATGCACATTAGATGCACTAGCAGAATGTTGAACCTAATTCAATCTTTGCCCTGGCCTTGCTCTATAGAGACCCTGCCAGCTTGTTGCACTTGGACAGACGATAACTGGTCGCTCAGTGTGGCAATAGCTCAAGGTTCTTTCTGGCTTATCAAGCTTCCAGTCCCTGTGATGAAAGGCCTGCTAGGACCCTTTGGGGCAGGGGAAATAATTGCATATAATCAAAGAAGCAGTGAGTTTCCCTGAAGCCAACAAATTTCCTTAACGAACAAGATGGTGTGTAGACACAGGATTCCACAACAGAAATGAAAGCTTTCCTGTTCAGAGGAAGGAAGTTCTTTCTTCATGAGCTTTGAGGGCTAGTAATTACTACTTAAGGAATGAATGCCCTCGCAGTTATTGCTTCTGCAAGGGCAGGACCCCAGGGCCTCATCAAGTCTCTATGTTCCAGGAAGGAATAGCATATGTGGGCGATTGTTTCCTTTCCAAATGTATAGAACGGACATTATACTCTTGAATGGAGCTACCTAGGGTAGTGATAGAGCTGAGCAGACATAAACACCCTTTCCAGTCCAACCCAGCCGGCCAGCCAGCCTTCTCTTCTCAGCCCTGTTGCATGGGCACCGTAGGGTGACGTGCTTCCAGGGGTCCTTGTTCCTGGGTGAAGAGATTCCCGCCACCCTGGGAATCAAGTGGAAATCGGGGGTTGCAGAGCGTGGGGTAAGGAGAGGGAGAGTACCAGCTTGAGCTCGCAAATGGCCCACCCCCTCATGTGGGATCTCTCTAAAGGGACTCCCTCTGCAATCAATGGTGCTCTGTTTGCATCCCCGTGTAAATGGGGGATTATCTTGACTTCTCACTGACACGACTTCACTCTCCAGCTCCATAATTTGTAGCAACAGAAGATGCATAATTTTGTTAAAAATCACTTGGGTCACACAGCCTAGCTCGTAGTATGCTATGCTTCTGCA